TAGTCATACCATTTCAACAAATTTCATGTTCAACATCAAACGGCTAAATAAATAAATGCTTATAAACATTTATGTATTGTGTACTACCAACACACTTTTGTCCATTTTGCGTCGTGTGCAAATCCCAGAAGGGTATGTATTATATAAAGAGTTCTGTGGGTCCTAAACATTTTCCTTAGCATAAATTATGTCTGGTTAATGTATGTCATTGTTAGTCATAGAAATGATTTTCACAGTACTGTATATTATTCAAGGGCTAACTGAGATTTTATGAAAATGATACAAATTTTGTACTTAGGTGTATGTTGTAATTTTTGTCATCTTTTAATGTACATTATTACGGGGCATTAAATATTTAATTGCCAAATACGATTTGTGATTATTGTGTTTGTAGACAAACCAAGAGTTTTTGATCAGCTTCCTCATAAGCCATTGCAGAGATGTGAAAGATAACCTCCAATGGTCTTAAGGGATTTAGGTTACATTAATATAAAAGTTCATTTTTTGACAATGCTTTAAAATGATAACTACATTTATACTTTCTGCTGTCATCCTCTTTTCATAATAATTTAAAGCTTTATCCAACCAGTCAGTAGTTTTTAGGTATTTTTGTTACTCTAAATTGCCGATGTTAAATATTTTTTTGTATAGAAAGTTTGTAAGTTAAGTGAGCTTTCATAAAGCTAACAAATTTTATATATATATATATATATATATATATATATATATATATATATATATATATATATATATATATATATATATATATATATATATATATATATATATATATATATATATATATATATATATATATATATATATATATATATATATATATATATATATATATATATATATATATATATATATATATATATATATATATATATATATATATATATATATATATATATATATATATATATATATATATATATATATATATATATATATATATATATATATATATATATATATATATATATATATATATATATATATATATATATATATATATATATATATATATATATATATATATATATATATATATATATATATATATATATATATATATATATATATATATATATATATATATATATATATATTAATTAGTTCTTTCTCAATATAATTGCAGCTACAGTATTGCATTTTGTATTTATCAGGTTTCTTACTATAATCTTGGTTAAAGCCAAACATTAAATATGAATTTGCCTTTGGAAATCAATAAATCTGACCAAACATTTTTGAAACTGGTGTAAGAATGCAATGTTTGAGCAACATGTGACATTTATTTTGTAATATTTTGTTTTTCCCCACAGGCAATATATGAACACAAATTTACGTTGGGCTGCCTTCTAGCTAGTGTCAAGATTGATATGCCTCCACCCATAAACGTGAGGTGCGGGGAAGGTAATACCAACATTTGTCTGTCTGTCTTGTGCATCTAAAACGATGATTTCAGACACCAAAGAGTATACCTGAAGTTGTTCCTCGGAGATGGTCATTGACGGCACCGATAGTTGTTATTATTAAAAGCTAGTGCATAATAATAATAAGTGAAGAAAAAATGTGTGGTCTATAGATAGGGGCAGTGCATCTCATTTCTAGATTGGTACGTCATTTCATATTTGAGGAGCAATGAACACTAATGACTGCTACAGAAATCAATAAAATTGTGCATTTTTTTTCTTAATGCTTAGAATGGAAGTTTCAAGTTGGCTATTGTTAGTTGTTATTAAGAATCATAACTATAAACTATGGTAGGAAAACCAAACGGACATCTAGAGCATTATGCATGTCTTACTGATTTGAAAATAATATTGCTAATGAATGTAAAACATTAATAAATATAAATTTACTTAGAAATGTGCTCATTTTATTACTATGTGCAAAAACAAATGTAAAATTACCCAAACCTACCCAGAACTTTATAGAATTATGTATATAAGAAAAATAAAACATTTTCCTACTACAATATTGGTATCGAATGTAGAACGTAAATAAACAATTTGACTTTGAACTGTGCCAATTTTTATAAATTGGACCTAAAACAGAATTTCTCAAAACTACCCAAACAACAAATCCAGAGGAGCCGTTACACACAGAAATCACAATAGCGTGATGCATCAATGAACAAATCCACAAGGGCAGTGACGAGGATTCGAACCTACGAATCTCGAGCGTAGGTTCGAATCCTCGTCACGGCCCTTGTGGATTTGTTCCAGAGGAGCCGTGATGAGGGTTGGAACCTGTGTGTTGGGGGTTCCCAGGAACACTCATTGTCTTTTACCCAAAACAAAACAAAATATTTTTATTTGTATAATTTCTTATGTTTTCTATCTACTTTTTATTATTAATATTATAGTACTGTATGTTAATCACTGTAATTTTGTTTGGAAATATGGAAATTTTGTAAAGAAATATGACCAAAAGCAAATGTAGAATTACCGAAAACCTCTTGAATAGCATAAATAAAAAATTAAAATTCTGTGATGTATTTCCCTAATATAATATTGATATTGAATGTAGAATGTGAATAAATATAATACTACATGGAAATATGACCAAAATCAAATGTAAAATTACCCAAAACTTCTTGAATATCATAAATAAAAAATTAAAATTCTGGAATGTATTTTCCTAATATAATATTGATATTGAATGTAGAATGTGAATAAATATTACTTTAAATGGAAATACTGTGCTAATTGTATAATGAAATATGATAAAAAATAAAAATGCAGAATTTGTCCAAAAACTACCCAAAATGTTTTGAATTGCATAAAATACAGTATAACATTTTACAATAATAATGCTGTTTATATGTTATGATTAGTAATGTGTGACCTGACAGCCCTCACAAGATTGACTGTAGCCAACATGGTTGAGGAATGAGGTAAGAAATGGTTTTAAACATGTTAAAAATAGCATTGTTAATTATTAATTATTATATGTCAACTAAATGCTTGGTACATTGGTGAAGCCTTTAAGAATGAACAATAAGCTGACAGCCTTAAAATGATACAGTAAATAGGCACTCAAACATATAAATAGCTTTATGCGAACAAGCCTGAATGGTCCCCCACCGCCGGCACCGAGGCCGGCGGTGGGGTGGTTCAAATAGCCTCGGCTATCACCTCATTATGTCCGGTCGTGATGGTCAAGTGGATTAAGGCGTCTTGTACATACCAGTTGCGTTGCTCCTGGGAGTATGGGTTCGAGTCACTTCTGGGGTGTGAGTTTTCAAATAGCTTTATATATAGCAAAATACTTCAATAACATTATTTGGAGGATGTACTTAAAGGTACCTCCGAAGTCATATATGAACCACCACCTTCAATCCTAAATCCATGCAGGCTTAAATTACAACTTATTATACCGAAAATATGCCGATTAATGCAAACAGCGATGGGGTCAGAATTTGCCCAAATTGACCTACAGTTTTCAGAATATTGGAAATATTTGTAATATAGCTCGTGGATGTTATTTGTGAGGTGAATTTATGGTGATTGCACATATTTGGAGTTTTAATTACAAATTTTTATACCAAAAATATGCCAATTAATGCAAATGGCGATGGGTAAGGTTTGACCAAATTGCCCAACAGTTTTCAGAATATTGGATATGTGACTTATGGACGTTATTTGTGAGCAGAATTCATGGTGATTGCACATATTTGGAGTTGCAATCCTTAATTCAATCACTTAAAACCAAAGCTGGGAACATTAATGAAATACCAGCTATGAGCTATGAGAGTCCTGTCCCTGCTCTTGCACTACCCATAGTTCTGCTATTTAAGAGATTTAACCAAGATTTAACAAATCTTGTGTTATAATTTTTCCGATATCCTTAAAAGAGCAAGAGTGACGCCAGTTCATAAAGGAGGTGAGACGGCTGACAAACAATTACAGACCCATATCAGATCTATCTATACTTTCAAAAATATTTGAAAAAAATTTTCTACAAAGAGCTCTGTTCCTACTTTGTAAAACTGCATACTAAGTCCCTGCCAGTTTGGCTTTCTTCCCTAAAAAGAGTACCAATGATGCCATTATTAGTCTGCTTAATATAATCTACACAGCCCTTAAGAAAAATGAGTTCTCAATTGGCCTCTTCATTGACCTGAGAAAGGAATTTGAACCTGTAAACCATAACTACCTCTAACTTAAACCTTGCCACTATGGTATTCAAGGCTTTGCGTTGGACTATATTCATTCCTTTCTTAGTGACAGACACCAATATGTAGGCATCAATAGCATAACTTCCCCTACTACCATTGACAGTAGGGGTACCACAGGGCAGCATCTTGGGACCTCTCCTATTTCTCATATACATCAATGATTTGCCAAATGTTTCTAACATTCTTAAACATACTTAAGACATATTTACCTGAATTTACCTGAGGGCCACTAATGCTAGTAGCCTCGACGAGGACAGGAAGCTGGCAGCTTGTCAAAGGTCCCCCCATTTCCCCTGCTGATATTTTCTAGCTGTAATTTAAAACACTATACGTGCTAGTGTCTGTGCAATAATGTAAAAATTCTTGTATATATATATATAAAAAAAAAAAAAAGTTTTGGCGTTTACGGCTTTGGCGGGTAAGCAGTTCCACGGATTTACAACTCATGGGTGAAAAAGCATCTCCCGTTTTCTGTCCTACATTATGGCTTGTTTGTATATCCTTTCCAGTGGAATCACTGCTGTCAACTTATGATGTAATTATTTGTTGATATATAAAACCTTTCTGCTATGTACCTGTTCATCTTACCAGATATATTAGATTAATTAAGGACCTGCTCGAAACGCCTAGCTGGCTAGTGGCTTTGTATGAATGTAAAAATTCCAATGTTATGTAATCTCACCAACCCATTGTACTTGCAAATAAAATATATTTATTATTATTATTATTATTATTATTATTATTACTATTATTATTATTATTATTGTTATTATTGTTATTATTGTTATTATTATTATTATTAGCATTGTATCCCCTGTCGTGCGGAAGTTGCTGCAGGGTTGAGAAGGTCGGGTGCTTCTCTCTTCTTAGTAATATTTTGTGGTGTTGACGAGTGTTGTGGAGGCCACACCTCCTCCAGACGAGACCTTCACGCCCACCAAGGTTACTGAGGTAAGATTAGCAAGTTGTCATTTGGGTGAGCGCGCGTTATTGTAGTTAGTAGAGAGGTGTAGGGAGCCGGCTGGCAGGTCGGTGTTGTATTGATTGTATTTGTTGTATTGAGTAACTACCCAAGTATTTACAATTTATTGATCATTTTTGTCTGCAGAATTGAGCTATTAGCTCCTGGACTCCGACTTGTAATTATCTAAGTGTAGTTAAGAGATGAGTTATGCTCGTGTCCCAACTTCCCAGTAATGTACTCTCATATAAATTTATATATACAAGTTCAAGTTCAAGTAAGTTTATTGAGACAAGAAAAAAAAATACATCTGAAAGGGATAGAGTAGCTTAGGCTATTTCTACCCCCCATATATACAAGAGTTCTTACATTCTTGTACAGCCACTAGCACACATAGCATTTCGGGCAAGTCCTTTATCCTAATTTTCCCCGGAATACGACCCCGCCAAATTGTTAACAACCAGGTACCCATTTAATTGTTGGGTAAACAGAGGCTACAGTTAACTGTCCAGTAAATCCTCCCCGGCCAGGATATGAACCCAGGCCAAAGCACTTGCGAAAAGCCAGGCGAGTGTCTTACCACTACGCCACGGGAACTGATATATATAACACACACGACACTTTGAAACTACTGACAGTTTCAGCATGAGCATAGCTCTCATCCTGGAACCACATTTAGCGAACTGCGCTAGTGACCTCGAGGAGGACAGAAAGCCGGAGGCTTGACAATTGTTTTTCCTCCCCATATGTCCTGATTTTAAAATAGGCCAGTTGAAAATCAGATGTGCAACATGCTCCCACTGCATGTATGGGGCATAACTGGTCTGCCTCTCACAGTATTCAAGGGAGAACTCTACAAACACCTGCAAAGGATATCTGATCAATGAGGCTGTAATTCATGCATCAGGCAGTAAGCAACTGCATCCTACATCCTGGTTGATCAGACCACCAACCAGGAGGTCTGGTCAAAGACCGGATCGTGGGGGAAGTTGATGCTCGGAATCACCGCAAAGTAAGGTACTAATTATTGTATTGAGCACAAGAATTGTTATTTGTGAATGTTAAACTGCAAAATTAAAAGGTTTACATCTTTATTTTCCTCTCAGGTACACAGAGAGTGCTCTTGAAGCTTTGGCCAAGCTGTTGCATCTCCGAAGGTCTTTGCTGAAGTTTATCCACATGGGTACTCAAGAGAGCAGTCACAGCAGCTACAAACTTACCCCTTGGAAGCTTGGCTGTGAAGTCAGAGGGATTGACCTAAAGAAAGATGTACCAAAAGATGGTGAGCCTAGAAGCACAATGTGTAAAACTGCATGTGAAAGTAGTTTTTTTTAGTGTTACACCTGTATATTTGAGAGAACCACCAGGTGCACCAGTACTGGGATGGGCTGATCATTACTTGGTGCATACAGACGAGGTACTGTATGCAGTACTGTAATGTGTTCTGTTGCACATACAGGCAGGGACTTGTTTGAAGTAGAAAAAGGGAAATCTGTATATTTAGTTAAAGATGTAGCATTCATATCAATAATGTATGTAGTTTGCAGTTGTTGGGTTGTAGGTTGTACAAAATTGAAGTTAAAGTTGAGGCTACACTGTTTTTCTTGCTGGCTTTGGAATAGATTCATCCAAGGTGTAGTGTTGCACTTGACAAAAATATAAATGCATAAAGGAATGCGAGTTTGGTTTTACAATCCTGTTTGAATTGATTCATTATTACAGGGGATTATTTGATAGGGGATTCATTATTTACAGGGGATTATAAGATAGCTAGGTACTGTACACTTAAGAATGGTGCTGCCTGATTTTTACTTTTGAGTAGTGTGGTTTAAGGTACTGTAGTATGGGTTTGTCGAGTGCAGTAATTCACACAAAATAGTTTTTCAGTTTCTAAATGTTTAGTGAAAACATTTTTCTGATGTATCTTTTTATATTTAAATTAGATTTTCTATAGTATTGTATATTTGATAATTTTATCAAATGCAGTTAATTCTGGGTTTATTATTGGCAAGCATTTCTACTCACAGTTATTGCTGCTATTAAGGAGGATGTGACGAAGCATCGCGTGCTGATTTTCAAGGTAAGAGATGAATGATGTCCAATTAATGAATAAAGGAATATAACTGCAACTCCTGAACATTTTTACATAATTTACTGTAGTCATTTATGTGGTGTATACAAAAATATACAAGGTTTGAAAATGAGCCTTCGTGCAACTGTACGAGACATTTATAAGTTTTGCCTTTTATAAATATACTGTAATGGCATGGGCACTTTGTGTTCTGTAAGTAATAACTTGTCAAATAAATGTTTCTAATTTAAGTATTTGTATGTAGTACTTTAACTTCATAACATTAAGCAAATAAGTTTAAGTACAGTAGACTCTCAGTTCCTTAGAAGGAGATTTCTTTCGATACTACAAGAAGAAAGCATCTTGTAAGGTCGACACAACTTATAAGAATAACAAATTTTGACACGGGACCTTCTGAGAACATCTAACATTCCACTCTCCAGGATGGTGCTTCTTTCAATGTATATTCATACAGCATCAAGAACCTGCAGGAAGTAGATAATCAAACTTTGGCAGTGGATGGAAGGTACTTTTATGGAGCACCCGTGGCAACCTTTCTCTTCGAACTCCCCTCTGATGATAGCCTGGAAAGAGGGAGCCTTCTTGCAGGATATGCAAGTAAGGGCACGTTTCCTTACTAGCCCACAGTAGAAATGGGAAGATCATGAATGGGAACCAATTTGTTCTAACCTAACCTAACCAAACATTGCAAACCCGAGGGTCTCCTTGGTTTTGACTGAAATGCACATAGGGTCGAGCTTGGCCTAAGGCTGAGCTCGTGGAGTAGAACAACTCGAAACTCTCTCCAGGTATACTATTGGAGCTTCTAACAATTTTGGTAGAGTGACAATTCCAATACTGGTCAAGCAACCCACTATCATTAAAAAGATCCCTGCCCTATTCCTTGGGAATCTAACTGAACGAATGGTCAGCGATGGTGAGATTGGGGGGGGGGGGTCCTTAAGCGTCACTGGGATTTTATCAGACACGGAGGATACCCTGATAAAATCCTTCAAGATGCAGATAGAAAGTTAGCACAAAGAACCAGATCTTCATTACTACAGCACAAGGGACAGCAGCAAGCTAATGAGAGGCTAATACTCCTGACCCTCTATTTTCAAAGAATTGCGGGGCTGCTCCAGAGAGAACTCGTTAAACTCTGGGGATATTTAAAGTCTCTCTACACGCAAGTTACCCAGCATGGAAAAAAACTCCCACAAGAAATACCCATGTTAGCTTGGAAATGAGATAAATCCTTAAATGATCTCTTGGTAAAAGCAAAATTTCCCTAGCAAACCCCCACACCTTGTGGAGGGCACAAGAAGGCCCTCCAATATAAAGACTCAATACTATTGTCAGTACAGTATTGCTTTGCATAGTTTCTGGATGTTTTCTCGGTGAGGATGATCATAATAATCCCCTGCTCCATGTGCCACTGTGGGATCTGACTCAGTTCTCTAATAAACCATAAAGAACTCATATGGCTGATGTGATTTGGCAAGGGAGGACCCATCCCAGCGAGATATGTTCAGGGATCCACGTAGATCCTATCAGCGAGAGGTGTGTTTTTTGCGTTCAAGGCTGATTTTATTTTTGAGCCACAAGTAGCTCTCCTATTTTTGGGGTAGAATTTTAGTAACTTTGGGTGAGCAGGTTCAACCTGAATGTGTCCGATTACTTTATTCAGTCCTTGCTTTTTGTTCATTACACTGCACATATGTAATATTTTGAGAGACTTTAAAACACATTCAAAGGTTTATTAGAATTTTGATAATCTTTTTTCTTTTTAATAGGATCAGGGTGTTATCAGTGGGGACAGGCATGTGGAAATTGCTAAATGGTTTGGTGAACCTGATTCTACCTTTTATAAGCATCCACGATCTCCACACCCAGATGTGTTCCGAGTCTCTAATGATCGCACCGAAGGCTGCACAAGTAAGTTTATTTTTTACTTGAGAGTACAATATTTTAGCAATAATATTGTTTATCTTATTTGTGTTCTATCCACATAATGAAGTAGCTTTATAATCAGGCACTAACACTTCAGTCCTACGTGATTAGAATAATGTAGCTTTTACATTTTTAATCTCTGCTATATGACATTATCAATGAGCTCACAGTTGTGCTGGTTGAATAAATATTACTCTTACTGTTAATCAGTTGATCAATATCACTGTTCGATAAGTTGCTTAAAATATATTATTGGTAGATACTTTTCTGTTCTGTAACTTACCTTGCATATCACATTCAAGATTTGAGTTGGTTCGGTTTCTGTATATACACCCACCTAATCGTGCACACATACGTATATTTACACATTTGTGCCTGCATGATCGAGCTGTTAGCTCTTGGACCTTGTGTTTCTAATGTTCTGACTCCCAACCTATTTTTCTTTTATGCGCTATTCGTGTGTGCTATACATGTATATGTGTACATGTATAGCACACATGTGTAACTCTCTAGCTCTCAACTGTTACAACTTTTTTTTTTCAGAGTTGTTTTCCTTACATATTGGTGCTTATTTATACTTCAGTCATACAGTATTTTGAAGGCCTACACTCATTATAATTTTCATTATGATCTTGTGTAGCTTTATTCTGTACTTTAGCTCGTGCATCTAAGAAACTTATAATTTAAAAGCATGCTAATGAGTATATGAATATTTACAGTACTCTTAGGTGAATTTTGTTATTTCTTACGTTGTCAGATGTTGGTCGAACTGGGTGGCACATTGATGGTAGTTTTCAAGAGGCACCATTTGCATACTCACTTTACCATATGGTAAGATATTCTGGCATTTTTTTTCAATATTTTTTCTTGAATATAATTTAGGTGTCTGTGGTTGGGATTAAATTTTGTAACGAGCTCATCAAGATTGTAACTTGCTTAGCTAAATGAATTGTGGGGTTCAGTCCCTGAGCTCATTGTGTACCTCTGTAACCCTTTCCACTACCGCCCACAAGATGGGTATGAGTTGCATAGTAAATGAACTAAACGGTGGTAGGGAGATACTTTTTGGTTGTCACAATTTTGTGTTTTACTTTTACTTGTTTTTTATATACTGTAATGCAATGTAGTTTGTTTTTTCATCCTGTTTAAATAAAACATTTTCATATATGCTGTACCCCACATAACACACACAGGCACTTGCTGATTTGTGAGCCAGCTTCTAGCTGTGGCAGCTGTATTGCCACTTCGATGAGACAGACGCCTGCCGGTTGTGTGTGGCGCTGGGAAAGTTCTGGTACAAGACTGTGTTTTGTGTACCTTATGGGTGACCCTTGCTTCGTGGTGTATTGGAGAGTGAGGATTTGGTGGTACTGAATGTAGTTAACCACTTTTAAAAGTTTAGAAGAGCCTGAATGAATTTTGGCTGCATGTAATTTTAAGTGTGGATTACATTGGTCTAAAGCCAAAATGCTTCTGAAATAAATGAGGTCAGTCTTGACTAATTCTGGGTCACTGAAAATAGAAATGTTTAAAATTGTTGATCAACTCTAATTTTCATCCAAAACTAGTCTTAAAGATGTTTTACTGCATATTGGGTGAGAGGTTTGCCAAAAATCCCATTGCCTTATGCAGCCCATATGAAGGAAACTTATAGCAACTTGAAAAAGCTCTTGAGGTGCATAAACAATGACCGGCATCAGTGACATCGGTGGCAACTTGAAGGTTGTTGCTCTTGTGATGGGTGTGCAAAGTGGATACACAAATGACTGTTTTATTTGAGAGTGTGATAGTTCACACCTGTTCATAGTTCACATCTGATGAACAGGGGGAAGGGGGCATGAATTGCACACTGCCCCAAATCAGTTTGCCATACTCATAAAACTCCTACACACGTTCCATAACTACTTCCGCTGCTAGTGTACATTTGAGAGACAAACTAATTTTTACACAATATTTTGGGTATAACAGCTCCTTCCTCTTCATTTAAATTTCATGATATGCAAGATTTGCATTTTATAAGTTCATTGGAAACTTAGTGTTTTAATTTCAGGTTCATGTACCAACTAATGGTCCTACAGTATTCTGCCCACTGACTGAAATTATTGAAGAGTTACCTCGAGATCAACGCATACGGTGGGAACGTTTGTATATGATAAGTGATCGTCGGTCAGGTCCGATACATCCACTGATTTATTCTCATCCACTGACAAAGAAAAAGGTAAGATAGTTCATTTATTTTGGGAATTAGTTTATTCCAGTTTCTTTAATGACCCTAGAATAGTTTTTGTTAAGGAAAAATACATTTTCTGGATTAAATTAATATCCAGCTGAGCGAAATCAGTGTAGAGCCTATTTCGTTATACTGTACTGTACAGTACCGTATGTTCTTGCCGAGGCAAGATTCGTACTTTCCACACAGGATGGCGGGCTGTTGCTTGATGGAGAGGGAAGCTGATGGATTATAATGGTGCTGTTTCTGTGATAATGCAACATGTATTGTTGAAGTTATGACAGGTGGGGCATATCTTTTGGGTATCTATAATCATATTTTCCCATGTTCTACACTATTTCCTATTATGAAAGTGGGGAGAGGCCTCTACATCCTGCAAATTTACAAAACCTCATTTTTATCTTATAAAGTATTTAAATTTATTTTTATTTAAATTCTCGCTTCTGCCGTTTCATAGAATTTTTTTTCTGTGCTTTTAGTTTTGTCATACAGCAAATTAATTCTCAATATAACTTTACCATACATCAAGGCTATTTTGGCACCCCCCCTCTCTCTCTCTCTCTATCCCTCCTATACAGTATTCTTTTCACAGTTTCACCTTTACTATTGTTAGTAAAGAAGTCCTGTTCTGCTTTTATATTCCTTTCCATACTAAATATAATTAAATTAATATTGCCTAGCCTCTGACATTTAAAAATTTTGCTCCTATTTTCATTCACTTTCATCGAAGGCTTGGTCTACGGTATTAAAATTTTGCCCTAACTATTCAGTTATTTTCCCTCTTTATAATTTGATTAATAAAAACACTACTATATTTGCATTCACCAAGTGTAACAATTGGCATGTTTGATGTAGTAAGAGAAGTCTAAATCAAATTTACAGCTGTATATTATTTGCTGTATAATTTTCTGCACATTCTTCAGAGTGCTTTGTATTTTAAAGTCAGAAGTATTTATAACTATGCATTCATTTCAGTAATTTTTATAATAGATTTTCATGATTTTCTTGTCAGGTTCTCTGTTTCCATTTGGGCATGACAGAGGGATTTATTTGGGACTACAAGACTCCCGAGCAGCGAAGCACAAGTGAAGAAGAAACATACGCTATTCTGCAAGAGATCCACCACGAATTCATCAAGGATAATAAAGCTCGGCAGTACAGACACGAGGTACTGTATAAGGATTTTTTTTTTTGAGATCGTGGCTATCTACATGCAGTTTCTCATTCTATTGTTAGATAATTTCTGGGAGAGCGCTGAGGTGGCTCTTGTTTCTAGTTGCCTGGTTACCTCCATCTAATTCAAGTCACACCAGATCCTTGTGAGTTATTAAAAGTCTACCAGGGACCAGAAGCCAAAACCTGACCCCCTCCCCCCCCCCCCCTTTACAAAGGTGCAGAGAGCGGGGAATGCTAAAATTGCCCTAACTGAGAATTAAGTCACCAGTAATTGAAATTGGTGTTTCATTACATTCATTGCTGTTTTTTTCCCCTTATGATCCACTTGTTTGTTTGACATAGGGTTGTCTGCACGTCGTGTCTTGATGTGTGCGAGGCTTAACATGCTGTGATTTTCGCTGTATTGCACCATTCAACCATTCCTGTGATGATTTATGTTTCTCCAACATTTGTTATATTGGGTCCTGGAATTTTTGCTCTTGGGGCTAGCTTTGAGTGCTAGGCTCTTTGAGACTATGCTGTGTGTGGCACTTTAGGAGCTAGTTATGCCCCAGAAGTGCATATATAGTATTGTGACTCATTCAGGCCTGTCCTGAATGACAGAAGCTGTCTGCTTCTCTCAGGGTTTCTTTGTGTGGTTTCCATTTTTTCCCTGGCCCCCCCCCCCCCCCTGCTTTTTTTTTTTTTTTTTTTTTTTTTTTTTTTTGGTACATCCTGGCTTGTTTGATTTCACTTGGTGTGGTTGGCACTTGGAGACCCAACCTTGCAGTTTTGTGTCCTGGTATATTTTTGTAGCTGTCTGTTTCTTTCAGGATGTTTTCGGTTGTGTGGATGTCCCTTCGGGAGAGTGCCCATCACCCAAAATTTGGGCTTGGGTTTTTGTACCAAGCATCCCAGTCAACTTTTCTGCTTATGAGTTCCTTCTTCGTGTAGTGCTGGAGAGTGACATTTTGGAAGACACCTAGTAGCTATAGTTCCCCCCACCTCCCCTCCTCTTCTCCCTCTCTCACTTCTCCCCCTCCCCCCCCCCCCTCCATCTGGAAGAGTACTTCAAATTATTGGAAGAGTGTTTGATGAGGGTCCTTATGGGTACCTGAGGATCTTCACATTTTCATGATCAGTTTTTCAGGCCAGCTCGTAAACTATAATAAGCATTTGAGATTATGGGTTTTCGTTGTTTTAGAGATTATAATTTAGTTATGCACATAAACTTAATAAGAAATTTCCACTTAAGGATCTGGAGGTTGCTTAAATGTAGACAATAACTACTAGATTAAAAAGGTTTATTATATTATGGGCTATGTAACGCAGAAGTCATGTGTAAATAAAAATCAAACAAAAATGTTTGTTTTTCAAATATTTTACTGTTCAAGAAAATAGATGTTAACAAGCAGCATCATAATTTCTCTCCTTTTAGTGTGACTTGTGATACACTTTAATATCCACACATCACAGATAAAGAAGTGGTACTTTAGTGTCACTTTTGTCATGTTTCAGTGGAGTGTAGGTGACTTTATAATCTCGGACAACCTCTCTGTGGCTCACGAAGCAGCACCAGAGTCTCAACTGCCTCGGAGCAAGGTGGATCTGAGGGTTCTGCACCGTGTGACCACTGTCGGCCATTGCCCTCCCACCAAGGACTATGACTATCGCAAAGAACTTGGGCTGTAATAAAAGAGCATTAAATCATCTTAAACTGAAAAGTTACCTTTGCTGTATTCTTTATCTCTGATTTGTCCAGCTTTCTTACAAGATCCATGTGACTAAAGTGTTTTTACAAGGGATATTATGTTGCACAGGTAGAATCTAAAGAGCATCAGAGCAAAGAAATCTGCAGAAGGTCAATTGCCTGCTGCCAAGGCAGTTCCTATTTATGTACAGTACAGGTACTAATATTTTTATCTTAAACAATTTAACTTTCTAGTGAATTTTCTGTCATGAAGTTAACTGGTTACTTATTTCATAGATTTCCAATCCAACTTCTGAACCAGTGTGCATATTTCTTTAATAAATTTAAATTTAAATCCATTTTGTGTTATAATTTTCGTTAATATTTTCAGCACTCTGTTTATATCTCCCTTCTTGAACCTTTTCATCCATTTGTACACTTCAGTCATGTTGCCCGTTTTCTCTTTGTCTGTGTAAATCTTCATACGTCTTTTTTTCAGATGGAGGGTTTCTTTCACCCAGGTTCAGATTAGCCATTCTTTTCTATGTACTTGCCAGAGAATTTACAGCCATTCTATAGTATGGTGTCCAAAACTGTACTGTACTGTACTAATCTGTAATGGAATATGATCACTATATACAAAATAGTTCAGTAATAAGAATAGAAAAAATTGATAGGGAACAATTCCTGACCTGGAATTTCAAGAACCTGAGGTCATAGATTTTAACTAAACAATGCTGCTGAGAAAGTGAGAAAATTCACTTTCACAGAGTGGTAGGCGGTTGGAACAAGTTCAGTGAGGAGGTGGTGGTTATAGGTTAAGATTTAGGAGGTGGTGGTTAACTTGTGGTGGCCTCCACCACAAGTTAAGTGGTGGAGGCCAAACCCGTCGGTAGTTTCAAAGCGTTATATGACAGTGCTGGGAAAACAGAACACCATGAGCACAGTTCTCATCCTGTAACTATACTTGGGTAATTACACATACACAAACATATCCACACATATACTCATACATACATACAGTACATACAAGCTTAAGTATTAAAATGTGTTACTATCCTGCATTTTCTTGCCTTTGTTAGGCCCATATAAACATGCTTTTTACTTTGGGCACTGTACTATAGAATAAACATGAATTCTCCTGAAAGTTTGACAAGAAGGATGGTAAAGTTTATCCCAAGGCATCTGGAACCAGTCTTATAAAAAGAGATTAAGAAAGCTTAAATTACATTTTTTTTTTAGAATGGTGAGGAGTAATAGCGGGACATGATTTGAGATAGAAATGATGAAAGATATAACAAGAAGTATTAATAAGGTGGTAAAAATATATATACTAAATAGTACACGCAACAATGGATAGAAACGGTTAAGTTTAAGATTAAAAGAAGAATTTTGTGAAGATGGTTTTAGATTTATGGAATATGTTAGTAATATAATACATGTGGGGGGTTGCTCAAATGTTTCATGTGTGGGCTAAGCAAATATGAGTGGTTGTTATTTGTTATAAAAAGCTTGCCTAACTGCCTTGCATGGGCCAATCAGACTTTTTGCAGTTTCTCTAGTCTTGTTCTTAGTACAGTATAAGCACAATTTCTATTCTTGTAAAGTTCTTCATGACATATTGCAATTTAACTCTCACATGGTATTGTGAACTAATTTGTCTTTATTACATTTCAATCCAAATTTTAACTTTTCACATTTAATATGTTGACTTGTAAGACATACTTTGTTGTAAATTTTACTTCAGCCTGTGAATTTTATATTTTATGCAGTATCCTCATATAATAGTCAAGGTGCTACTTGTGCCCATGTCAAAAATGGATTTTAAAGTTAGTAACTATTTATGGGCAAATGGAGATTATTATAACCTAGATATGCATATTTTCCTCATCATTTCTGCAAGACAATTACGAACAACAACAATTTGTTTGGCTTTATTTTTGGTAGTAAAGTTGTTCAGTAAATTGTACAATTTTTAATGACAATAAATAGTTTGTTAAATCTATGCCACAAAGTAGTTGTTACAAGTGCAAGCTTGCCAAAGTGCTTTACAGAAGAAATATGGAGTTTTCCCTTGCAGATTAATTATTCGTTAAGTAAGTGGGGAATTTATTCGTTTGTTAGAGGGATAGTGATTATTTTCTTGTCATGAGCACACTGTGATATACTGTATTGTGATAAATGTATTTATAAGGTCAACACTTGTCAAAATAATATTGTTATTGCCTTTATCATTCCACATCTGAATGAGGTCTTTCTAGGAGTTGCCTGTTAGAGCCCATAGGTAATAGTGTTACTAGCTGGCCTTCTGGGGCCAGATTCGTGAAGCAGTTACCCAAGCACTTACGAACCTGTATTTTTTTTCTCAATATTTGGCGGCTTTGTTTATAATTATTAAACAGGTATTGAGCTCTGAAGTACCAGGAGGCTGTTTATAACAATAACAACAGTTGATTGGAAAGTTCTCATGCTTGTGAACTGTTTAATAAATGTAACCAAAGCCGTCGAGGATTGAGGAAAGATGTACACGTTCGTAAGTACTTGCGTAACTACTGTACTTCGTGAATCTGGCCCCTGGACTCTAGGTAGCTCATAGATGCAGAATGCTGACCATTCACCTGATAAGGAGTACAATGTGAAACAAGTGTGCACATGAGCATGGATGTACTGACCTGGGAAGCATGAATGGTACAGGAACATTTTAAAGGTGGAAAAAAAGTTCACTTCATTGCTTAGTTCCCCTCAACTGCTCCACCTTCCTCTTCTCTACTCCTATTCAATTTATAATGTTTCTCCCTCAGTCTTATTCTCGTGGCCTCTCCATTTCGCCAGTCCCATTCTTTCTCGATTCCTTTGGTTCTTTTCTTCTCTCTTATAGCTTTCCATCTTCCATTCCTCATTTTCTTTCCCATTTCATATATCATTTAAATATGTTAACATTTTAACATTTTTTTTTAGCATTAACCTAATGTTAATTCTTGACTTGATAGGTCAAGTCTAATCCTTTCTTTCCTTCTATCCTTTCCTTGCCTTCTTCCATCATCCTTCTCTTCCTTCTCTTCCTTCTCTATCCTTCTCTTCCTTCTCTATCCTCCCTTTCCCTATTCTTCCATTGTTGGAACAAAAGGGGGCTTATAGAACAAAAATAGACAGTTTACTTCAATATGTTCTGGACCAACCAGGTTGTAGTGGATACGTGGGCCTGCTGGCCGCTCCAAGCATGTATCTGTACCTTATGCAGACAAGGAGTCACAATAACGTGGCTGAAATATATTGACCAAACCACACACTAGAAAGTGAAGAGACGACGACGTTTCGGTCCGTCCTGGACCATTCTCAAGTTGATTGTGCTTCAATCGACTTGAGAATGGTCGAAACGTCGTCGTCCCTTCACTTTCTAGTGTGTGGTTTGGTCAACATATCTGTACCTTCTCCAGATACAATCCTTTTTCATTTGTTCTTCTCCCTTTCTCCTATCTTTGTCTCACTGCATGCTATGTTCACCTAGGTTTTTTCTTTTAAATTGAGAACATATTGTCTTCATTAGTGATAGGGCTTATAAATTTGATAAGGTGAGAAATGATGGAAGGAAATAAATTTTCTTGCAGCTTTAGACACTATACAAGCAGATTATTTATCCTGGGATTATCCAAGTTTAATGCCAGCATGAGAGACATTATTTTTTGGTCAGTATTGAATTTGTATAAATGAAAAATGTAATGTTTCCATTAACATTATTATAATGCCATGCAGTACTTTTAAACTTATCAGTATATTGTTTTAAGAATGTATTAAAAGTTTATAGAGTAAATAGTTTCAGTATGTCCACATTATTGAAGTTTTACTGTACTATATATTGTTTTACAGCATATTTAAGTATTTTATTATACTGTGTAGTCTAAATATAATGTTAGTTCATCTCCATTAAGTTTGTATAAAATAGATGTTTTCACTTGATTTAAAAAGTAATAAATACAGTACCTTTAAATGTTAAGAAACTTTGGATGTGGTAAGTAAAGAACATTCTAAGTTATATTGATAATAGCTGACATCAGATCATCACAAACTGTAATGGGTTAATGGTCTTGTATTATTTGTCCCTATTAACCGATATTACTGGCATTCGTTTTTTTTCATTTGATTTATAAATAAAGTTGAATGTTGAAAATCCCTTTGCAGTTCCTAGAGTTTAAATATATTAGTTGTTACCCTGCTCCCGTGCTTGCATAACATGCAGCTTACCTTAATCGATGTCTTTATTTACCAAATAGGGTAAATTTTTTTTGTCTTGACATTATTTGTATAATTATATAAATATGCACTATAAATAAAAATGGGTTGAAAAATTGTATTTATTTATCAAGGTGAGATGGAGATAATGTCCTAAACGATGGAGATAATCTCCTAACGTATGGAGATAATGGCTCCCTCACATGACAAGCATGTGAAGGAGCCAGGTGCATATCTTCTGTAAGATGGGTTGATTGCTCCCCCTTTCCTTCTTCATAAAATAAATTGGCAGGTACATCCTGCATATCGTGTGCACGGACAAATGGCTGTCTTTGCCTCCATATGTACTGTATTGAGTAAAATAATCCTCGGTATAATCTAGAAAAGAATACAAAGTTTATCATGTAAAAACAGTGGAAAGTAATCGAGGCTCACGTCTGCTAGTGATGGGTGTGAAAAATTACATACATACATATAACATATATATATATATATATATATATATATATATATATAATAAAATATATATAATATATATGTATGTATGTATATGTCAGAATGCCATTTCATATATTGTTATAGATGTGTGATTAACATTGTTGTGTATTATTTTATTCCGTAATCCACACGTAAAACCTGAGCATCTGCTTAGAGTTTCACGTGTGTGTGTGTGTCTTGTGATTACTTCAGTGTTAACAGTATTGAGTAGTTAGGTGGCCATTACAGTGTTGAGTAAGGCTGTTCCTTTGAAAGCCATGTATCATTTGTTGGACAGTTGCATGTCCCTCAGATTCTGATTTGTATGACCCTAATTTAAATTTAAAAGCTCCCAATGTATTGATAAGTTTACTGAACAAACGTATTAAGAATTCAGCACACATCAGAGAACCCTTCTATGTATATATCTGTGTCTAAAGCCATATACTTAGGGCTAGCCTTGCCCGGCTTTGCAGGGGGAATTGTCTCGGGTATGGGACAGACATTGGCTAGTCGGGGTCTGCCTAATTTAAATAATTTAAGAAATATTAGCATTTATAGAAACCCCCATGCAATTCTCATCAGGTGCCAAGTGTGAAATGTTTGGTGCATTTTCCATAGAGTTTTTTGTGCTTTGTGATACTAAATTTCCTGAGATAAGTAAAATGGGAGTGGGATGAGGGATAGGGCAAGATAGTGTGAATAGGGGAGAAGGATTGAAATAGGGAAGAGACCCAGGTACAGCCTGGTACCCCTTCTATATATAAATGGAAATGTCGGTCTGTTCAAGGTTGGAGACTAAATGAGCCTATCATCTCATAAATAATTATGAGCCTAACATACACGTTAGGTTCATAATTAGGTCCCCCCATCCCCCCGTGGTTGAACTACTGTACTTACTTTTCCCAGGATGCAACCTGGATACATATTTGCATTAGGATACGGTTGACTAATTCCCGGATACCTATTTACTTAGAGGTGAACATGAGGCAGTAGGTGAAAGGAAGTCGTGCCCAGCCATTTCTGCCCCGCCCGGGAATCGAACCCGGGATTCCCGACTGTGAGTCGAGAACAAATCCATCTGTACTACAGAGACCCGTAGTGGTCTTCAGGTAAAATCAGGTAAATCCTGGATATGTGTATCTTTATTCACAGTATGTTGGACTACTACACAGTGGGCTCTCAGGTAAGTAAGTTAAGCAAGAGCAGGCAGTGTATACAGACGAGAAGTCACAATAACGTGGCTGAAATATGTTGACCAAATCACACACTAGAAAGTGAAGGGACGACGACGTTTCGGTCGGTCCTGGACCATTCTCAAGTCGATTGTGAGTTGAGAATGGCACAATCGACTTGAGAATAGTCTAGGACGGACCGAAACGTCGTCGTCCCTTCACTTTCTAGTGTGTGGTTTGGTCAACAGGCAGCGTAGTCGAATCAGTCCTGAAGGAATCGACTCTCGGGCCTAATGGAATTTGCCTTGTGATTGTGAATTTTTAGATCCGCCACACTGTCAACTTGTCTGAGGGACTCGGCATAGTGGTGAGTTTAGCATCAAATTTATCATTGCAATTGGGGGCCTAGATATAGTTTATAGATAATTCAACCCATCCTGCTGAAATGATAGTGCAGTACGTATAATAACTATTTGGTCCGTAGTACCAATATGTAGTGATGGACCTCCAGTAACCCACTTTTGGTACTATTAATTTTATATTCCGTTAAAAATTAAGCTGAAGAGAAATTTAAATATTCCTAGGCCTAGTATAGCATATATATACTATTTTAGGTCTAACATAGCATATATTAGGATTAACCTCTCCTAGAATTGCTAGAAGTTAAGTTAGGTCTTACATTTATGTTGCGGGTTCATCTGCATAGATGAAATAATCACAGACAAAGAATCATAGAATCAACATCATAGAATTTGACCTGCCCGAAACGCTGCGCGTGCTAGTGGCTTTACAAGACTGTAATTACCATATTTGTATCCTCACATTCCTTATGTACATTCTTGTATATGCATAAATAAATAAATAAAACATCTTCAGGTTATCTCTGAAGCAAGTGTAATCTCCAATGCGGCACGGGAGACATCTCCCGTCACGCAGGGTGCAGTCGCACCTCCACAGATCTCCAGTATCAGCTCTTGATACTGGTAATGGCTCAAAAGGACCACCACTTACGGGCTATTCATGCCCGTGCCACCTTTCGGGTGGTTTAATCTTCATCATCCAATGCGGATCGTATATGTGATAAGAAATCAGCATGGATTTAGAAATAGAAAGTCTGACAACTTTGAGTTTTATGAGACAGGAAAAGGAAGGCTTGATAAACTGTCAAAAAGTATTAGACACTGTTCCCCGTGAAAGACTGCTGTACAAGATGAAGACCCAGGCTGGGATAACTGAGAAAACGTTGACCTGGGTAAGGGAGTACCTGAAGGACACAAAGGAAAGAGTCAGTCAGAGAGGATGTTTCCAACTGGACAAATGTAACAAGTGGGGGTCCCACAAGGCTGTCTTGGGGCCGCTGCTGTTCCTACTTAATGTGAACGACCTGCCTGAGGGAGTGAGCTCAGACATGTCAATGTTTGCAGATGATGCAAAGCTGATGAGGAACGTGAAAACAGGCCCACTTCAAACACGTGATGCTCTTGGTCGAGATCACCGGAACATTCAATAACAAATATGAAAAGCAGATGATAAATTGTTCGCTCGTCGCAGAAGCAATTAGCTAATAATATGTTTGAAAGCGAGTCTGGATCAGTAACAAATGGATCTGATGCTTGGAGGAATATGTCATTTCACATATCAAACAGAACAGTAGTTCTCTATTAATATGAGCTTCAATTTCCCGGAGTTCCCTGTTGCAGTTCGCAACATTGCAACGCCGGTCCCAAATTACTTGTACCGGCGTCAGTTATGAATGAATTCAGCTGGAACCAGTAATGGACGGCGTGTCTCGATGCATAGCACAACACTCCCACTGATTTTAACCTTCTCCAGGAGGAGAGGTGCTCGCTCCAGCGGACGACTGGGTGCTGGGTCATCTGGTCCTACAATATGACACTATTGATTCCCGTCCCACTTAATAGTACATATCTAGACCAAAAATTTTCGCTGCCATTTATATGGGACTTGGCAATTTTCTCCCCCAGATGTCAGTATATATCATGACGGAACCACATCTCCCATATGACAGTACACAACATGACACATCATCATTTCCCATGTGACAGTACACAACATGACACATCATCATTTCCCATGTGACAGTACACAACATGACACATCATCATTTCCCATGTGACAGTACACATTATGACACATCATCATTTCCCATGTGACAGTACACAACATGACACATCATCATTTCCCATGTGACAGTACACAACATGACACATCATCATTTCACATGTGACAGTACACAACATGACACATCATCATCTCCCATATGACAGTACAGTACATGACAGATGCCCACACTTTGACAATATAACATTCCTCAGAATGACAGCCAACCTTTGCACCACAACACCCCGACAAAACATAGGGCCTTGTGGGTCTGTGAGGTGGGACTCCCCCGGGGTATTTTTGGCGACTGTGTGAGTGTGAGGGGCACCGTCGCTGCCCTCAGTGCCAAGGCGGCTCTGCGCAGTGCCAACCTGGCCTTACCTGTGATGGGAGCGACTTCCTCACCCCTTCCCCAGACATCCTATTCGGGAGTTTATCCTGCCGTGCCCACCCACTGGGACCAGGTGAGTGCGCTGCTCTCCACTCCCAGGAGGTCGACAGTGACCGAGCGCCCATTGACTCGGGCGCTCCTAGTCAATGCAGTTTGCAGTCGCTCAGGTGCAGGTATCGTTCCAGCCGCTAACTGGCTCGGCAGTAGGCCTACTATACATACATATATATATGTGCAAGATACTCTATGTAGTTTTTAAGTAGATATCTTTTGTCTAGAAGCTTGAAGCGTGTGGGGTGTCGCTAGAGCGAGTGTGTGATGTTAGCGCTCCCTTATTAGGAGCGTTGGGAGAGTGGGAGCGGGTAGGTGTTATGGGTGGTGGCGGAGCAGGCGGCGCCACACACGCTCGCCGTGCCACCCTGGGGTCTTCTCGACTGTTTTGCTAGAGTAATAACAGGGAATCGGCTTGCTATCATACACACAGTGTTCACTGTAGTTACAGTGGCTCGTGACGTGACGGCGTGCAGGGGGCACTCCCCGTCAGTCAAGTTGGGTCTGAGTTGAACATGTGATTATAGCTTGGCCCTTAGCTACTGGGATCTCCAGTTTTAAATAAACGGCTTCCTGTTCTCGATAGAGTAGACCCACGTGCATCTACAGACTTAAGACCACTTACGATAGCGAATAACAGCTGGTACTAAGAGTTGGGTCACTGACGCTGACGAGGAGTCCGTTTATGTCTGACACAATAATCTCGCCCATGACAGTCCTTTCGAGAATTTAATCAATGAATGACAGTCATCTCTCGTCTCGGGCGTCTTAACTGGTGGGGACAAACAGTTTCTATTTCGATAAACCAGATCTGTGTTTGGCAATAATGATTTTGCTCATTCATTGTATCCAAAGTCGACATGTAATTAAAGCGACTCCTTGTTATCCTAGATTGCCCTTGTGTCTGAAGCTCGGCACAGATATACAAAAATGATTAGTGATGGAGTCAGACTTTGTCTCCTATGGATTCCTTCCCGTATCCAAATGCGGTATTTGCATCTGAATGTATGATAGAACGCATAAGTTAACCAGAGCATATGCTCTTTAAACTGGAGACGTAAAGGAGGAAGGTACTGTCAACAAGCTGTGTATTTTTCTCCATTATATGGGAGGTAATTTATTGGACCCGCTTGTATTTCCTGGGCATGCAAGACCCCGAAAAGGAATACCTTACTCGGCTTTGAATTCTTTGCGTCTAAACTAGGGTATGGCAGTTATTGGGTCTGAATAATCGTTATTCTATTTGGTATGCAATTCTGCGTGTTCTCTCTTGTGATTTTAAATTATAAATTCTACCGTGCATGAGCTACGGTAATATTTTATCATCCAGTATTGATATCTCGGGAAATTAGGTTAGCATAGTTCCCGCGTCTTTAATGACATCCTGGTTCACCTCTTGGACTCTTGTACCGCTGACTGCTGGCTGACGCTACCTTATACCGCTGACTGCTGACACTACCTTGTACCGACAGCGTCAGTAATCATGTACTGAAGGAAGAGACTGTCTGGGAGAATATCGGATAGATAAATTTCGAGTGTGTTAGGTATGTTTACTTTTACAGTTGTATGCGCTGGGAGGAGTTTGCAGTGTACACAAATATTTATATATTTATTTATTTATTTATTTATATACAAGAAGTTGAACATTAGTCTCCGTACATGATGGCACGCTCCACCATGAATACAAATTTACTTGTTTTTTTAAGAAAATACACACATGTTTAATCAGTACAGATAAAAATGTATTGAAGGGCACTTGCGAAAACATATTGAGTTAACTTGCACATTTTAAATGTTAAAATATGAGCGGGGGTTGTAATGGACTCGGCGCACGTGTTGGGAGGAAGGAATAACGAGAGGCAGCAGAGGCTTAGATTTCTTTCCTCAAAGTTGGCTGCAGCCTTCAAGTTTCGCTCTCGTGGCATTCATTGACAAAGTGGAGGTACAGAATTTTCAATGAGTCGCTGCGAACAAATTAGTGACACACCTTTTATTTATATTAAATATTTTAAATTGCATTTTTTTTAATCCCCGACCGTCCAAGTGGTTGGGCACCATTCCCTCCCACCGTCCCATCCCATTAAATCCTTATCCTGACCCCTTCCCAGTGCTATATAGTCGCAATGGCTTGGCGCTTTCTCCCTGATAGTTCCCTTCCCTTCTACCTCCTCTAATCCTCATTTAAATATCTGGGACGATTTCTTCAAAATTCTTATTTGCACCTACGGTTTGGTCCTGGGTGTTACCATTTCACAAGAATGTTTTTTTTCTTTTTTGAAATTATGAACCTGAATGTCTTTGTTGCTGAAGAAAATGTCATTTAAAATGCAAAAAGTTTATTAGAAGTTCGGTACGTTGTCGCATTTATATACACGCGGTAATAACACAAACTTTTCCAGCCTACTCGCTTCTGTTTTGGTGTGTGCTCACCTGTGTGTACCTGCAGTGTAGAGCTTCGCCTGCTGGGCCCGGCCTTTTCAGCTGTTGGTCGTCTAATGCAGTGATTTCTAACTTTCACTACTTCTATCTACTTTTGAGACAGTTGTTGGTCGTCTAATGCAGTGATTTCTAACTTTCACTACTTCTATCTACTTTTGAAACAGCTGTTGGTCGTCTAATGCAGTGATTTCTAACTTTCACTACTTCTATCTACTTTTGAAACAGTGTTAGGGAGTGTGTGTCTGGTTGGAGACTGGTCCGCGGGGACCAGTCTTTGTTACCACCTCAAAGATCCCTCAAGTTTCCTCCATCTCCGCTACTTCCTTCTACACGGCTGACATAGCAGCAACACAGGAAGTTCTTGATCTGCATAATGTGATCAATGCGGCATCAGAAACCCAAACCCTTATATCGGGGGACTTAAAAACCACGAGACCATAGGACTGGGTAAATCTAACATCACAAGCAGAAGGAGACCAATTTCTTGATCTGGTGCAGGACTCCTTCCTCATACAGCATGTGGCGGAGCCCACACGAAGTAACAACATTCTAGATCGTGTGCTAACATCACAAGAGGGTATGATTGCTCAAACTCAGGTACGGGGAAAGAAGCTCACCCCTCTCGTTATGTTGTCCATTACTGCCAGCAATGTGATGCGTCCTCTGAGACTGCTAACCATTGGCTCGTTCATGTGTCCTCTGAGATTGCTAACCATTGGTCCGTTCATGTGTCCGCTGAGACTGCTAACCATTGGCTCGTTCATGTGTCCTCTGAGATTGCTAACCATTGGTCCGTTCATGTGTCCGCTGAGACTGCTAACCATTGGTCCGTTCATGTGTCCTCTGAGACTGCTAACCATTGGTCCGTTCATGTGTCCGCTGAGACTGCTAACCATTGGTCCGTTCATGTGTCCGCTGAGACTGCTAACCATTGGTCAGTTCATGTGTCCTCGGAGATTGCTAAACATTGGTTCGTTCATGTGTCCTCGGAGATTGCTAACCATTGGTCCGTTCACGTGTCCTCTGAGACTGCTTGCCTCTGGTCAGTCCAGGGAAGATACATCCCTGGGAGGAGGTGGTGTGTGATCGATATTCGCTGGTTCTGCATCCCCGGAGGACTTAAGAGCTCACAGACTTGCCAGTTATCTGGGATTGGCCGTTTATTGAGCCTATGTGGGTCAGTTATTGCTTACCAATACATTCAAGTTGAATGACAATATCGGACCTCTCGTAGTAATGGTTCAACCATCATCTTTGTCCACATTTGATTATAAGAGACTCGCGTTCTCGTTGTAACATCTATGAGCAGCTGGATCGGGTTAATATTATGAACTGGGTGACGTTGAAACGGAACCCTCTTTCACTGCAAGTTCTGAGCATTGGTTTATGAGCTCCAGGTTTAGACTTTAGAGTTTAAACTCCACTACGGGCTCACCATAGCCCGTGCTACTTGGATCTATTAGTTATAGCTAGCGAATCTTTAACAACAACAAATCCAGGTTTAGATCAAGCTGGAAGAAACTGTTCAGCTACTGAAATTATCTCGTTCCGATTTATAGTCATGTACAAAGGCGCGGTGTACGTGACTATACAGTCATGTACAAAGGCGCGGTGTACGTGACTATACAGTCATGTACAAAGGCGCGGTGTACGTGACTATACAGTCATGTACAAAAGCGCGGTGTACGTGACTATACAGTCATGTACAAAGGCGCGGTGTACGTGACTATGCAGTCACGTACAAAGGCGCGGTGTACGTGACTATACAGTCATGTACAAAGGCGCGGTGTACGTGACTATACAGTCACGTACAAAGGCGCGGCGTACGTGACTCTACAGTCATGTACAGACTCCTGTGTTTGCGCTCGGAAGCGCTTTAAAAAGTGCGACTGTTGACGATAAGTCTCGCGTTATAAATTAAGTTCTCAGATGAATGTTCAGCGTTGGATTGCCGCTTAATAAAAATCCAAAAATAAATATAAAAAAATGACTGGAGCAAAACAATTACCTGTGGTTGTAAAGAAGATAATTTTCATAAACCTTTGCTTCATATCATATTGAGAAAATCATATCGTCATGGCTAAAATGTTACTGGGATTCATCACTTCTAGTATTGTTACTGTTACTGGCATGGCTTCCTGTGCTGCACGGCGCACTCTGATTGGTGAAGCTCTCCTTCCGTCGTGCACTCTGATTGGTGAAGCTCTCCTTCCGTCGTGCACTCTGATTGGTGAAGCTCTCCTTCCGTCGTGCACTCTGATTGGTGAAGCTCTCCTTCCGTCGTGCACTCTGATTGGTGAAGCTCTCCTTCCGTCGTGCACTCTGATTGGTGAAGCTCTCCTGTACATCTTCTCTCAATCTTTGGCGGCTTTGTTTGCAATTAATAAACAGTTAATGAGCTCCGGAGCACCAGGAGGCTGATTATAACAATAACAACAGTTGATTGGGAAGTTTTCATGCTTGTAAACCGCTTAATAAATGTAACCAAAGCCGTCAAAGATTGAGGAAAGATGTATAGGTTCGTAAGTATTTGCATAACTGCTTCGTGAATCTGGCCCCTACTCGTCACGTGTTTGTGTTGAGTTCGTTGTCGGCGTCGCCCAGGGAGGAGCACGAGGGCGGAGGGATTGAATTTGCTACACAGGTGGAGGATGTTGAAGCTGTGGCAGGTCGTGATCCCTGTTTGTGACGCGCAGGGAATGTTGTTGACAGCTTGTGATACTCCATCATTTTGGCTCCTGTCATTTGGGTGTGTGAGACACAAAATATGGCGGGAAAAACAACAGGACCTCAGATGCCGAGTCATGGATACAAGCGGTTTCAAAACTGAGAATAAAAAGACATCTATGACTGTATGTGTGTGTTCGTCAACCCCCGAGCCTGTCAACTCTGGTTGTTATTTTGTTCCCGGTTTTGAAATTTTGTTCTCGGTTTTGACTCGGCATCTGTGATCCTGTTGTTTTTCTGTCATATTCTCTCTCTCTCTCTCTCTCTCTCTCTCTCTCTCTCTCTCTCTCTCTCTCTCTCTCTCTCTCGCTCTCTCGCTCTCTCTCTCTCTCTCTCTCTCTCTCTCTCTCTCTCTCGCTCTCGCTCTCGCTCTCGCTCTCGCTCTCTCTCTCTCTCTCTCTCTCTCTCTCTCTCTCTCTCTCTCTCTCTCTCTCTCTCTCTCTCTCTCTCTCTCTCTCTCACACACACACACACACACACACACACACACACACACACACACACACACACACACACACACACACACACACACACACACGCATTGGGGGTCTGACGGCTGAGTGAACAACGCTCGGGATTCGTAGTCCTAGGGTCCAGGGGTCTATTCCCGGCGGAAACAAATGGGCAGTTTCATTCACCCTAATGCCCATGTTCATCTAGGAGTAAATAGGTACCTGGGAGTTAAACAGCTGCTACGGACTGCTTCCTGGGTGCATGCGTGTGTATGGAACAAAATAAAAAGTTGATTGACAGTTGAAAGACGGGCCCAAAGAGCCAAAGCTCAACCACCGTAAGCACTACTAGGTAAATACAACTAGGCGAGTACAAATGACAGAGCCAAAACTATATATAATAAGCTGACGACGAGTCACATTAACGAGGCTGAAGATATGATGACAAACCCCGCATCAGAAGATGAAGAAACAACACACACACACACACACACACACACACACACACACACACACACACACACACACACACACACACACACACAAAGGCGGGATCCAAGAGTCAATGCTCGATCCTGCAGACACAACTAGGTGAGTACACATATATTTTGTTTACATTCTTGTAAAGCCACTAGTACGCGCAGCGTTTCGGACAGGTCCTTAACCCTAATTTCCCCGGAATACGACCCCGCCGAATCGTTTAACAACCAGATACCCATTCACTGCTAGGTGAAGAGAGGCTACAAGTTAAGGATTGGCGCCCAGTCAATCCTCCCCGGCAAATATATAATAATCTTATGCACCCTCTTAAGATACACGGAAGTATAGAGAGGACGTGGCACACGAGGCCACACATTATTGGTAGTGAGGTTATATTGGTTCAGGAGACCACAAGTGTCAGACAATATAAAATAGACACGAGGAGTGGTGGTAGACAGAGGGGAATAACCCACTAATATTCAAGTCTTGGCACTTGGCTCGCCTGGCACCTCAGGCCAAAGCTCGCTTTCATAAAGATCGTTCAACTCCTTTAGCATTAATTCCCCATGAGTTAAACAACATAGACGAGCATATTAATAACGCAAAAATTAAAGGAACAGTGAAAATAATAATGTTGGGGTATTTTTGAAGTAGAATAAAAACCATAAGAACAAGAAGCACTGTCATTCAGTAACCCGTCCTCACACTAGGCTGGTTAAAGCAGCGGCCGTCCTCACACTAGGCTGGTTAAAGCAGCGGCCGTCCTCACACTAGGCTGGTTAAAGCAGCGGCCGTCCTCACACTAGGCTGTTTAAAGCAGCAGCCGTCCTCACACTAGGCTGGTTAAAGCAGCGGCCGTCCTCCCCAGGCGCATTCATCAATTTTAACATACTGTGTATTAAAAATTGGTTTGTTCTCATATATAAATGAATATTTTTATACATAAAATTCTGTGTATAGTAAGGCGTAGGTTAGGTTACGTTAAGTGTTTAGGTTCTGTTGGCGATTATTTGTATTTGAAGTATGTGGGTGAAGCATTTATAGCAACCCGTCCTCGACTCAAGTCCATTACATCCAGCGCTCAACCCCACAGACGCCTTCATAAATTTTAACTTGCTGTTCATTCAAAACGGGAAATTTCTCAAGTATAAATTAATATTATAATATATTAGCATATTGTGTATATATAGGCATAGGTTAGGTTAGGTTAGGTGTTTAGGTTCTGTTGGCGATTATTTGTATTTGTAGTACGTGGGTGAAGCATTTACAGCGTTGTGATTCGAATAAAATTTGTCAGTGAAGCACTTGTTCCGGATATGTTCGAACGTCAGCAGTTGTGAGTCGTGTGTAAACCGCTTTTCATTCATAAACAGGGGGTTTGGCGGGTGCATGGAATCACTTTTGGATCTTTGTTTGGAGGACGGGCTGACTCACAACTGATTTCGTTCGAACACTTCCGAAACAAGTGCTTCACTGACCAATTTTTTTTCCAACCACAACGCTGTAAATGCCTCATCCACGTACTACAAATACAAATAATCGTCAACAGAACCTAAGCACCTAACCTATGCCTATATATGCACAATATGCTAATATATTATAATATTAATTTATATTTGAGAACATTCTTGTTTTGAATGAACAGTATGTACAAATTTATGAATGCGTCTGTGGGGGTCGACCGCTGGATGGAATGGACTTGAGTCGAGGACGGGTTGCACCCCTGGAATTGTGCGAGCCAGGAGTGTTGCTCGGGCCGTTACTGTGAGCTCGGGTGTTGTGTGTGACGGTACTGTGAGCCAGGGGGGTTGTGTATTGTCTCACGGGAGCACAGCCCCCCTCCCTGCCTCACATTACACATACACTCCTGCACTGTTTGGAGGCTGAGAATTATATTCACTCTTCCGTTCCCTCCGCCTCCTCCACCACACCAACTCTTCTACGTCTCTTCTCTGCCACTCCTGTCCACTTTTCTGCTTCTCGTGACATCAAAATCTATAAAGATCATCAACACCACTTCAGCCCATTAGTATAAAATTTCACGTTTGGAAGAGACAGACGTAATGCGCTTAGTGCGTCGGTAACCTTGTCTGTGGAGACGTCATCTTAAGGCGCTCATCATAACTGGCGGACGTTAATTTCCCGATGTAATGGTATCGGTTTGTTTATATAAAAGCATGATATGCAGTTTTATTTGTATTTAAAGTTACTTCTACACACACACACACACACACACACACACACACACACACACACACACACACACACACACACACACACACACACACACACACACACACACACACACACATCTGGCCTCGAACAAACATTCTGCTTATAGATATAGATAGCTATGCGAACAAGCCTGAACGGTCTCCAGGCATATATGCTACTGAAAATTCACACCCCAGAAGTGACTCGAACCCATACTGCCAGAAGCAATGCAACTGATGTACAGGATGATGTTAAGGGATCCTGTACATAAGTTGCATTGCTTCTGGCAGTATGGGTTCGAGTCACTTCTGGGGTGTGAGTTTTCAGTTGCATAGATAGCTGTGTGTGTATAAAACTATGAGGATGACTCTCTCCCTGTCTTACGGGGTCCTCATACCCGTGCCACCTCTTGTCTGGTTTAATCTTCATCACTCAGTCAATCTGTCTCTCCCGGCAGGATGGGGTACCTGGCGTGTCCAGTGTGTGAGCGGCAGTCACTGGCCAACGTGAGTGACTTACAGCTGCGTGTGGCCACTGCCCTCACACGTCTCCTTGCCTGTCCCATCTGCAGCGCCTCCGTCAGCGGCCTGCAGGCTTTCCACCACCACCTGGCGGCCCACCTGCCCTCGCAGCTCAATCCATGTTCGGATCCCGGCACTCCCACAGCCGCCCTCAGCTACCCGCTCACCAGCTCCCCCGAGGTCATTCCCACGCTGGAACACCTGGAGATCAGCGATGGCAGAGCTTCGCCACACAGCCCGGTCGCCCTGGCCAGGACGGCGTCGGAGGCGCGGGAATCCTCGGGCGTGACCATGAATACTGGCGGGGTGGTGCAAACTGAGTCCAGCGGCACCCACACCTCCGACCACACCCCTGATTACACCTCCCCCCGTATCACCGACCACACCCCTGGCCACACCCCCGCCCAGCCTCACAACTGTGACCTCTGTGGTCTTATCTTCTCCTCTGAACACTTCCTGAAGATCCACAAAGATATAATTCATGCTAAAAGTAGTTTTTTTGATGTTACTTGTAAACTGTGTAAAAAAAAGTTCAAAGATTTTGAAGCTTACCGTAACCACGTGCGGGAAGACCACAGTGAGCGTCGCTACATGTGCGACCAGTGTCCCAAGACGTTTAAGATGAAAGGGAGTCTGTTGGTCCACACCCGCATGTTCCACGACCCCTCCTCCCCCGCCACATGCCACATCTGCAAGAAAACCTTCACCACCAAGGCCAGGAAGGAGCTGCATGAGAAGCGGTATCACGGTGCCGGCACTGACCGTCTCCCACCTGGAAAGACCTCCCCGCCCTCTCCTTCCTCCAGACAGCAGCGGCTCAAAAACTCCAGTCTCGGGGACGCCAGAAACTGGCTCGAGACACTCATGAATGAGAATAAGTCTGCTGGAGAAAGCTGCGGCGGGCCACGTGAAGTTCCCAGCCAGCAGCGCCAACTGCCTCAGTCGATCCACCACCATTCACAATCACCGCTGCAGTATTCATCACCACAGACAGCCAAACAGCAGACTGAACAGAGTATTGCCACAGAACATCAGACAGCAGACCAGTTTATGAATCTCCAACAGTCTCAGGATCAAAGCACTGAACCGCTGCAAACAAAAGAACAGCTGCAGCAGCAGCCAAGACATTTCCAACAGTCACAACTGGATATTCAGCAACAAAGCAAATTACAAACTAAAGAATTACAGGACCAGCCATGCTGGGGACATGACAATCAGGCCTACATCATCCCTCAGGTCAAAACACAACCTCAGCCTCAGAAATCGCCCTCAGACGTATACTTCCCTCCATATAAAAATAATATTGTGTTTCCGTGTCAGATGTTGCAGCAGAACTTTGGTGTTGGTCGGCACCGTGCAGAATACACCGACTTTAAAGAGGAGAAGAAAGTGGGTGTGGCAGCGCACCCGGTGCCAATGGAAGCTCCCACAGGTCGCATTGTGGGCAGCGGACATTCACAAAACAGTCCTGTGGCCGTGGTCTCCCCACAGCCCCACAAGGCTGAGATCCCAACCACCAGCGCCCACGTCCAAGACACTGGGTACTCCTATACAGAAGCAAGAAGAAACAGCTTTCCCCTCGTTAGCTTCAACAAGCTAGGGCTCCCGCATACCGAACCAGCCCGCCTCCATCCAACGAACTACATCAGCGAACACTCTCTGGCGGGGCCCGAGAGTGCTCCTGTGTCTGGTGGGCAGGCGCTTGGCCTCCCCGCCTTGGGGGAAAAGATCCAGAGCACGCTGGCCGTGTCTCAGCACTTGGTCTACCAACACTGCCACAACAATATTGTGCCAAGTCTAAGTCCTACTATGGCACTCCTTGGCGCCGACAGCAAGACGGGGCTACGAGTACCACCCCTGATCATACCCACCAATCTCTACCAGACGGAAAAAGTGAAGGAATCTCCCGACAGTCCCATCCAAATGATGGAGGTGCAGAAGGAGATGGGGACGTGTGACACGAGCCCAATGATGGAAGAAGAGATACCAGACGGGATAGAGGATCCTCGGCAGGAGAGGAGCATGTTAGGTCGTCAACAACGGCCTCAAGGGCCTGGTACGACTGCTCTCACCCTTACCAAGAAGGTCAGTGGTTGCAGCGGGAACAGTCACTCGCAACATCCAAACTTCATACACACGTTGTGTTTACCTGAGTATATAAACAAATATATAAATACACAAACACGATCATGAATACCCTTTGCATAGAAGCACACACACACACATTTCAGCCTCCACAGACACACATACTTTTGCAAGCATAAAGCAATTTAAGTCCATACACTCGCAGAAGCGCAGAAGAAAGAGATCAACAGCAGACAACTAATCATTCTCTTCCCACAGGAGAGTGGGGGAGGCAAGGCTGACAACAAACAGTGGGAGTGCGAAGTGTGTAAGAAGTCCTTCACTACCAAGTACTTCCTCAAGAAGCATAAACGTCTCCACACAGGTCAGTAGCCGTCGTCCTCGTGTCGTCTGAAATCCCGTCTCCCACACTGCATGCTCTCCTAATCTTGGTCAAGACCTGATTTTGAAATTTGCAACCTATTTAGGATTTTATGTACCCACCTCAGCCGTCCATCACGACATTTTTGTATTTAGCAAAATTCATAGCCGACTGTAATTTATTTTGTGTTAATATTATTCCCCCCCCCTGTATATACACTAGATATATTAAGGCTAAAACAAGCGACAAGGTTGAATGTATTAAGTACCTTCAACTTTTAATAATGTACATAATGTATAATGTATTTTAAGTACATTAAGGGGTCACTACATGACCTCTGACTTCTGTAAGATAACCCTTGACCTCTGTATGAGCATCACTACATAACCCTTGACCTACGTTTAAGCGTTATTCCGTTAATCATAACTCGTTAATTCATCAAGTAATATTCTGCTGGTGTGACGCCACCACCGACCTCCTCACTTCATACCGTTCCGTGCATCGTGGCTGTAGTAAGCCGTCCCTGCTATGTTTATGTAATTTAGAAACTAACACCACGTCCACACGCACGTGGGTAATGATCAGTGCGTCATTCTTGCGTCATCCATTCCACTTCCCTCCCTCCCTGCGCAGGCGAGACACCGTACGCATGCGCTGAATGCGGGAAGACCTTCACCTTCCAGCAGAGTTACCACAAGCACATCCTCTACCACTCGGATGACAAGCCGCACCAGTGTACCTACTGCGGGCGGGCCTTCAAGGAGATGTCCACTCTCCACAACCACGTCCGGATCCACACTGGGGAGAAGCCGTTCGTGTGCGAGACATGCGGTAAGTCCCCGACTCCCCGAACCCCCAACAACTAAAACAGAAAACGATTTCGGGAAGTCCAGTGGATGAAGCCGTGCCTAACTTTCCGCTCTCCACCTCCAAACTTGCACATGCTGTGAGGCCATTTCTATGCTAATTCTTTGGTGTAGTTTTCTTGGACGGTGGCACATCAGTACACTCGCTCCAATAATACAATAAACAATCAGACCTTTTGATTTAATTGAATATTCTTTACTCTTTTTTAAGTTCAGTTTGTTTGCTGTATTTTGCAGATTCAGTACTACTAAATCTAGCTACATTTGGTGACTAAGGCGAGGGTATTGCTTATTGTCTGCAGCTTTGGGTGAATATATTCTTAATGCACAATAATACTATAATGCACAGTTAGAGAAAGTGGGGGAGAATTTAGAACAGAAGGGCAGTGAGAGAAGAGGGCGATGCTAGAAAGAAGAAAGGAAGCGAAAGAGAGAGAGAAAGAGAGAGAGAGAGCAAACATTTCAATAGCGGTCTAGTGTCGCCCTCTAAGCACTGGCCAGCCTGCAGGGGTGTGTCGGCAGGTGGGCCAAGTGTAACTGAAGTGGGCCAGGTGTAATTGAAGTGGGCCAGGTGTAACTGGAGGTGTGTGCCGGCAGGTAAGGCGTTCAGGCAGCGCGTGTCATACCTGGTCCACCAGAGGATCCACACCGGCGCGATGCCCTACACTTGCGACGCCTGCGGCAGGTCCTTCAGGTACAAGGTAGGTTTCATTCCCAGAGTTTCCTAAGGTGGCCAGGGATCTTGTGAGTAGTGCGGCCAGTCTGACGAGGTCCTGTGAACCGTGGCCAGGGGGCTTGAGTAATGCGGACAATCTAAGGTGGTCCTGTGAAGTAAAGGCCAGGGGGAGGGGGGATATTATGGGTGGTGCAGCCAATCTGAGGAGGTCCTGTCAATCACGGCCTGGGTACCATAGGAAGGTTAATTTTGGCTAGGTCTCCAGCTTCTAATGATGTCAAGCTCGTCTCTGCTTAAGAAGCTCTTCTCCCGGAAACTAATTTCTTATTCGGATTTCAATCGTGCCATTTGTGCCATACAACCATCAGTCGTAATAGATATAGATGGTAAGCTGTTGTAAATAATGAATTGCGAACTGTGACCATTCCCAGTGACCTTCCACTGTATATCTTGAGGTTATCTTGAGATGATTTCGGGGCTTAGCGTCCCCGCTGCCCGGTCCTCGACCGGGCCTCTTTTTTGTTACACACACCCCAGGAAGCAGCCCGTAGCAGCTGTCTAACTCCCAGGTACCTATTTACTGCTAGGTAAACCGGGGATCGAAGCCGGAACCCCAGGACTACGAATCCGAAGCGCTGGTCACTCAGCTGTCAGACCCGCTGTAACATGAAGTGATGACCTATCCCTGTGACCTCCCACTGTAACATGAAGCTATCTATCCATCCCCGTGACCATGAAGTGATGACAGTCTCCGGCTAGGCTACAGCTGGCCACACGCCTTAACTCCTAAACACTAAGGGAGCAGAGACCCGCGCCTCAGTGACTATGTCACTGAGGCGTCTAGTTGTCAACAACTTTCCGAACTGTTCGGATTCTCATCATTGGAAGTCTTCCTTTCGTTCATTAGTCACTTGTTCCTCAATATAATCCTCAGTGAATCTGCAGATGATGAGTCACAATAACGTGGCTGAAGTATGTTGACCAGACCACACACTAGAAAATGAAGGGACGACGACGTTTCAGTCCGTCCTGGACCATTTTCAAGTCGATTGTCAATCGACAATCGACTTGAGAATGGTCCAGGACGGACCGAAACGTCGCCGCTCAGTGAATCTGATTCATTTGACGTCCTGGACGCATCCGATCCCACGATCGTCGTCGCCCCTAAATCAACACATTTGACGTCGCTTGTCATACGTCCTTTTGCCCTCGTATGGGCATCATCAGTATCTAGAAGTTGTTTATGATTCTGTGACAAAGATGATGATAAATAATTGTCCAGACTTTGCGCTTTCTGTTGATAATTAGTTATGGGTAGTGCGGCCAGTGTGAGGAAGGTGTGTGTGCCGGGAACTTCACGGTTGTTATGGGTAGTGGGCTAGAACTCGATCCAATTATCTTTTTCCTAACGATGCTTCGTTATTTTAATTTTGGCTTTATCTCTTATTTTTGGTAATTTTTCAGTTCTTATTATTCTCAATCAACTTCTAAGACTAATTATTACATCTTGAGGGTAATTGCATTTCCTGGCATTTAACGCTATAACCGAGAATAAAGACGCAATAGTTTCTAAATTACTCATCATTAAACCAAATGAACTATTTCTTTCTCTCATTAGCTGGTATTAATTCAGATGAATATATTGACATAATTTGCTCAGAACCTCTACACTTAGATTCCCGAAAACATAACCATTTGTTGCTATGCATATAGAAGGAGGTACCATTGTGTCCCGTAGGTGAGTCTACGCTCGCACAAGTGTGAGCCCAACATGGCGTCCACGTCTGGAGGCGGCTCCATCACTTTGCGAAAGGACGGGGATATCCGCGTCGACACCTTCAAGATCATCAACAACGCCGGCACCCCCTCGCCCACGCCCGCCGCCACGCCCCCGCGCCTCTCCCACACCCCCACAATCACCACACAAACTGCGGTAACCACCACCAACAGGAACCAGCCGTACTCTGCTCCATGTTTCAAAGTTTAAGCCAGAACTAATAGAGTATAATTTGCGAGTGGTAAATAATAGTGCTTTGCTAACACTATAATAGCTTTGCTAGCACCATGGATGCATTGCTAACACCATGGGTGCATTGCTAACACCTTGGATGCATTGCTAACACCATGGATGCATTGCTAACACCATGGATGCATTGCTAACACCATGGATGCATTGCTAACACCATGGGTGCATTGCTAACATCATGGATGCATTGCTAACACCATGGGTACATTCCTTACTCTATGGGTGCATTGCTAACACGATGGGTGCATTGCTAACCTTATTGCATTGCATCACCTTATGTCGTCTACCTTAGTACTTTCTACAAAATATTGACTAGGCTGTAGTTTGGTGTTTTCTCAACAACTCTCACACACGGCATCTAGTGCCTTGCGCGGGATTCTTTGAGTTTTTAAACTCGTTGTTTATCATCCCAGTTTACTCCCAGTGATGTCTGAGGGATTCTTAGTTGTGGTTTGTGTATGTAAGCACTCAGTGGGTCACACACTTCACTTTAAGCGTGTTTAAGGTAGACGGTGGTGGTGCATGCTGGTCTTGAAGCTTGTAGATATATATGCCCTCTCTACTGACTACTGTTCGGCCGTAACCTCCTGCTTTTTTGTGTGGAACACATACGGTGTGCGGTCATTCCGAAATTATCTATTTTTTCTTATGGTAAGGATTTAATTTAACTTGATGAGGTTGTAACCAGACAATTCCATACTAACATTTGGTTATGGACATCCAACCACACGTCTGAAAATAAAAGACGTTTCTGTCCCTCTTCTGAATTGTTATCATGTCGTAAATTGACCGTTGTCACATCAGTGATAACGATATAATAGTCTAGGACGGACTGAAACATCGTCAGTTCTTTTATTTTGGAGAGTTGGGTGTTGAATTTCAGCCACATTATTGTCTGAATTTGGTTTTGTATATTATATAGGCTTAATTAAAAATGTTTTTTCTTATTTCTGAAGTACTAAGCATGGCAAATACTTAAAGAAAAAAAATGAGGATGACTATTTCAAGAATATATTTATCATCAGATTGGAGTGGTGTCTCCGAATTGTGGCGGAGTACTGGGATCAGGCGGCGACTGTGTGGGGGCCAGTTCCCCTCTGCTCGTCATGGGGTCAGTAAGGGACGGGACAAGGGCCAGTGGCGACCCCTCAAGCGGACCCACCAGCCCCCTTCCCCACCTCAACACCCTGACCAGCAGGATAAAGACGCCTCTCGAAACCATCGACCTAGCAGCCATATCGTGCGAGAGCGTCGGCTCCCACGACGACGGGAAGCGATCGCCTCACAAGGTGCGGCCCGCCAGCGGCCACAAGGCCTCCAGCAGCGGAGGAGGCCACGCCGGCCAGGACCCCATCTCCATGGCCTTGCTTCACGCACTGGTGGACCCCCACCAGTGCCGCCAGCAGGGAGAGTGCCGGCCTCATGCCCCGCTCTCACAGGACACTCTCCCCTTCCCAAGCCTCTCACCCTCTATGGATACCGATATTGATCACGACAGCTTTCTTACTAACTTTTTGATGTGATGAATGTGTCTTGTAGTTCTGTATAGCCATTAACAAGGTACAAATAAAAATTTGTATATATATATATATATATATATATATATATATATATATATATATATATATATATATATATATATATATACAAATCGATTGCTTTTATATATATATATATATATATATATATATATATATATATATATATATATATATATATATATACAAATCGATTGCTTTATATATATATATATATATATATATATATATATATATATATATATATATATATATATATATATATATATATATATATATATATACAAATCGATTGCTTTTATATATATATATATATATATATATATATATATATAATATATATATATATATATATATATATATATATATATATATATATATATATCTATGTAATATAAATAAGGTGCAGATAGCAAGTATTAATAGAATCACTACACAGTTCTTGGTATAAGTTGCTGTTAAAAGAAACTGTACTATCCACCAGCCTCTGTTTTTCAACACACTACTCTGGGACCTCATACTCAGTTAAAACTATTTTCTTCGATGTTCGTTACAACGGGATCACATTTTGTTGGCGTCACCAGCAATGCAAAAATTCCCGGGCACTAAGAAGACGCAAGACATGACGCAAGGACGTGACGCAAGATATGACGCAAGACATGACGCAAGACATGACACAAGACATGACGCAAGACATGACACAAGACATGACGCAAGACATGACGCAAGACATGACGCAAGATATGATGCAAGGCATGACGCAATATATGACGCAAGTCATGACGCAAGACATGACGCGCCTAACAGCTGGTCTCTACGTAACACTGGAACCATAACCTGTCTTTGTTTTTTTCTTTTAGTGTATTGCATCAGTCTTTATAAATGATTCTTGTTTAAACAGAGTCGAGAGATTGATGGAGAAAGACAGTGTTTAGAAAATATATAAAGTTACATTGTCGCCCTCGATATAAATGCTCAGGCTTGGCGTGCAATATGTGCACTGTGTATAACCCCTTGACGGCCATTGTGTGCTCAGTGCACCACCACGCTCAGTCTCCCCATGATGCTCAGCGCACCACCATGTGTCTCCAGAAGTCTACATCAAAACGATATCATCAGCGGCATATGCTACATTGATCTACATGGCAACTGCCTTTAAAAACTCGTGCATAGAATCTTTCAGAACTTTGTATACCACATATGTCAGACCAATCCTGGAGTATGCGGCTCCAAAGTGAAGTCCGTATCTACTCAAGCACAAGGCAAAGTTAGAGTTCAGACATACGTCTCCAGACTAGTACCGGAGCTGTGAGGTATGAGTTATGAGGAAATGAAACAGGAATTCAACCTTGTGTCACTGAAAGATAGAAGAGTTAGAAGAGACAAAATTCTCAGAGGAATTGATTGGGTAGATAAAGATAGAATATGTAGCATGAATTTGCTATATGTCCCCAGCACTAATAGGGGACACAGGTGGAAACTGAGTACCCAAATGAGCCACAGAAACATCAGACATAATTGTTTCAGTGTCAGAGTAGTTAACAAATGGAATGCATTAGGCAGTGATGTGGTGGAAGCAGATACATACACAGTTTCAAATTTAGATATGATAGAGCCCAGTAGGCTCAGGAACCCGTGCAAACCAGTTGTTGACATATGAGAAGCGGGACCAAAGAGCCGAAGCTTAACCCCCGTAAGTACAACTAGGTGAGTACGCATCCGCGTGAGCCGTCACACAAACACACACAAAAAAAATAACTTACTGAGTGGCCGGAGTGTGAGAATAACAAGGACAACAAGAGCAACAAGGACAACAATAACCAGATAACATTTGTGGTGACAAGTAAACACTATTTTTTATAGCACATGACTAATACAAATCTTATGTGATTGATGTATATGACAATTTATAATATACTATTAAAGAGAACTTTGTTTGAATAATCCGAAAATGACAAGATTGGACACATAGAAAGACGGTTTGCAGTATATATAATATACTATATAAACACTCACATATATATATATATATATATATATATATATATATATATATATATATATATATATATATATATATATATATATATATATATATATATATATATATTGTGACGGTAACGCGTTGGTGTTCGGCTGTTTAAGGCTAGGGGTATGGCCTCGTCACATAGTTATAAAAAAAAATAGAAAACTGGAACTTCGTCTGTGGTAAGGTAAGGAGAAGACACACAAAACACAAGTAAACTTTAACAATGAAATTTTAATTACGTTAAATAAATTAAAACATGAAAAAATGGACAAACAAATTCTTATAATAAAATCAATCAATCAAAATAATAATAATTAAATGACACAATGAAAAGTTATGTTAAGACAAAATAACAAGAAGTGCAATACAAAAATAAAGGGAAGGTGCTGGAATATTGGCTTTAAGCTACCACCTCTCTCAGTACACGCTAACGTCTAGCCGGGAGGAGTGGTAACTGCGAAAGCACTGAATATTCTGAGGTCTGAGGTCGTGGCGACCCCAGACATCAAGTAGTATGGGGGGGGCGAGTGCAGTTGCAGCCAGACCGGCGACCAATCAGCGGAGCCGGTAGCGATCAACAGGTAGTTTGGCGGTTTGAGTCTGAACAGGTGTCTCTGGCTGCATACGTTTTGCGCTCTGGCAAACCTTGGAGATGTTGTTGTCGTTGTTGGACATTTCTTCCCTAGTAGTTTTATATAGTTTGTTGCGACGTATTTGTAGAGGGAAGAGCAGGCTCAATCTCTTGAAGGAGATTATTGTCACAATAATATATATATATATATATATATATATATATATATATATATATATATATATATATATATATATATATATATATAAAGGGGTGGTAACGCAAATTATGTGAATAATTCTGCTGACAGATCTATACGTTTCGTCAAGTCTACATCAGCGGGTGGTGCAAACTTCCCCAGAGGGACTTGTAGCCGAGGCTAAGACTAGCAGTAGTACGTCCAGACGTCTGCTAACCTTATTGGATGATGCGGTTCTTCCTACATAATAGAATGATGATGAAGGAGGTATTGGTGAGAGTTCATTTTGGTGTGCTGGCGAGGCTCTGGGAGCTTAGGCTCGGTGTGCTGGGCGAGGCTCGTGGGAACGATCCCAGATATCGAGACACCAAGGAAGGTCTCACCAATAACATAATTAGTAGTTTCTTACACCCCGTGTGAGCGACAACAGCCGTTCCGACCTTGAGTTTGTTTACTATCTCGGATATTAGCGCCCTGGTGATGCTCTCTCTCTCTCTTAATGACGGCTCATGAGGTCAACACAGACCAATTATGTGCACATGATCTGTCTAACAAACTTGTGTGCATAGGCAGACGAATGGTCTGCCTATGCAGAAGGCAGAATGGTCGACTTGAGAATGGTCCAGGACGGACCGAAACGTCGTCGTCCCTTCACTTTCTAGTGTGTGGTCTGGTCAACAAACTTATACATACGTCGACGTCGTCATTCTAGCGTTTGACATCATTCTGACATCACCATTCATAGCAATTTTTTTCGCGAATTGTGTGCGCTTGTACTCTGTTTTCAATTGTGAATTCAAATCGGTATTGAGTAAGGAAATATTGTTATAGCCGCGGGGTGGTGGCAGCGGCCCGGAGACTCCTCCTTCCTTAATACAGTTGGTAATTATTATATAATTATAGAAGTGACTGGAGGCTGGATTTAACGTTGAGAATTTCTTAACGAGTTCTCGCTCACTGTGATCAACATTATTCTTCAATTATCTCTGTACTCCTACGTAGGGAGGGAGGAGAGGGCTGGGAGTATGTGGAGGAATGAGGGAAGGAGGGAGAGGGGAACGAAGAAAAGAGAGGAAAGAGAGAAAGGGGAACAGAGAGGAGAGGAAAAGAAAGGAAACAGATGGAAAAAAAATAAGGAGGAGAAAAGAGAGAGAGAGAGAGAGAGAGAGAGAGAGAGAGAGAGAGAGAGAGAGAGAGAGAGAGAGAGAGAGAGAGAGAGAGAGAGAGAGAGAGAGAGAGAGAGAGAGGGAGAGAGAGAGAGGTGAGGTGAGGTCACATACTCCCTCACCGGCAGTATGTGACCAAGCCCACTGATCAGCCTTGGTTTGGATATCGCTGCCGGATGGCAGCTGAAGCCAAAAACAAGGCCTGGAGGAGATTTAAACGGCATCCCTCGGCTCATAACAGAAACATTCATAGACAATCTTGTCGAATAATGAAAGAAGTTCAAAAGTGGGCTATATCCAGATGGGAATCCGAAACTCGAAGAAAACTTGCATCTGGAAGGGTTGGATCCAAGGTCTGGTGGTCCCTGGTGAAGGATCGGCAGGGGTACTCATCTGAGGACACAATCCCACCTCTAAACAGAGAAGATGGTACTGTGGCAACCAGCAATCAGGAGAAGGCTGATTTACTGGCAAACCACTTTGCTTCCAAGATGCAGGTCCCTGATCCTGAACGTCAGCCTCCACATCTTGCCCCATGCACTGTGTCTAAGTTGACTGAAGTGGTTATAAATCAGGCTGAAGTTCTCCATCTCCTTAACACGCTAGACACAAGCAAAGCTGTGGGGCCAGATAAGGTCAGTCCAAGACTACTTCGCTGCTGCGCTGACCTGTTGGCTCCACCTCTCACGCGCCTCTTCCAACTGTGCCTAGTTCAAGGAATTTGGCCCTCCTTATGGAAGAAGGCAGACGTTGTTCCAGTGCACAAAAAGAAGAGCCGCTCAGTAGTTGGTAACTACAGACCTGTGTCACTGCTTTCCATTACTGGCAAGATCCTAGAATCATTAATTGCTCAGCAAATGACATCATTTTTTGACCGTCATCGGCTAATTTGTGATCGACAGTATGGTTTTAGAAAAGGCCGATCTGCTGCTGATCTTTTGCTAAATCTCTCCTCTAAGTGGCATCAGTCACTGGATGAGTCCAAGATCAGCTGTGTTGTTGCTCTAGATATAGCAGGAGCCTTTGATCGGGTCTGGCACTCTGGACTAGCGGTGAAGCTTCAAGCTTTAGGCATTGCAGGCTCCATCTTAGTGTTATTAAAAGACTACCTTCAAGAACGGACTCTAAGGGTGGTCCTCAATGGAGCAGAATCCGATAGCCACTCAATTGGTGCCAGCGTTCCACAGGGTAGTGTGCTTGGCCCTCTGCTGTGGAATGTTTATTTCAACGATCTTCTTCATCTCATTCCTGAAGCTCAAGCCTATGCTGATGACTGTACTCTAACCTTTACATACAGAAAGGAGGAAATGCTAACTGCTGCAAGAATCATTAATCACAAACTTTCAGCAATTTCTACCTGGGGTAGGAGATGGCAGGTCACATTTGCGGCTGAGAAGACTCAAGCGATGATGATAAATAGACTGCACATGGCGAATCGGACAGAACTGCAAATGGGTGGCAAATCCCTGGAGTTCACAGAAGAATTTGACATCTTGGGAATGAAGTTCGACTCTTCAATGACAATGAAGAGCCATGTGATAAACCTAGCTAAAAAGGCAGCCAGGAAACTTACAGCACTACGGCGCATCTCATATCTTCTTGACAGCAAGGGATGCAAAACCTTATATGAAGCTCAAGTTCGCTCCCATCTTGAGTATGCACCCCTTTCCTGGATTGCCTGCCCCCCATCTTTCGTCAGACTGTTGGACAAAGTGGAGAGACGGGCTAGAAGGCTTATATCTAGTCTTGACCAAGTCTGGTGGGAACGGTCTGAACATCAGAGCCTGCAACACCGTCGGGACGTTGTTGGTCTTACTGTTATGTACAAGGCCAACATCCTCAAAGTTCCGCATTTGGCCCAACTCCGTGGAGTACCAGTAGTTCCCACTCGTAACACTAGGCTCTCAACCTTCAACAGTCTCATGCTGGAAGTGCCATTCTCAAGAACATCACTCCATCAGCGTTCATTCCTTCCGAGACTTACTCGCATCTGGAACTTGTTCGCTCAACAGATTGATACACGGGAGATCAGGTCAACTGTTCACATGAAGACTCTGGCACACAGCTGGCTACAAGATCATCCTGTTCCTTATATGATTGTTACTTAATGTTTTTTAATGAATAAAGGCTATTCCTTCTAAAGCAAAAAATACCAGGCTCATGAAATAAATGGGCATCTAGGAGTAGGTTTCAACTTAGCTTACATAAGTAAATATATGATAGTTCCCATTGTGATACTTTCAAAGTATACTCTTATATAATAAATGAGTTTCTAGGTGTAGGCTTCAGATGAGCTGAGGTAGGATAACAGCTCTTGCTTGCAGTTTCACTAGGTATGTTATTAGGCATCCCTTATGAATCCTAGTCTTAGTTTTAAAAAAAAAAAAAAAAAAAAAAAAAAGAGAGAGAGAGAGAGAGGGAGAGAGAGGGAGAGAGAGAGAGAGAGAGAGAGAGAGAGAGAGAGAGAGAGAGAGAGAGAGAGAGAGAGAGAGAGAGAGAGAGAGAGAGAGAGAGAGAGAGAGAGAGAGAGAGAGAGAGAGAGAGAGAGAGAGAGAGAGAGAGAGAGAGAGAGAGAGAGAGAGAGTGAGAGTGTGAGTGTGAAGAAGGGAGTGGGGGGTGTAAGGAAAGGGAAGGAGGAAGAGCAGTCGCGAGAAGAGCAAGGAAAGGATGGGTAGCAGGAATGGAAGAGAGGGAGGGAGGGTGTTGGGACAGGGTGAGGGAGAGTGTTAACCCGCCTCTGTCTTGTAAAACACCTCGGTGGAAATTAACGTTCACTTAGATAAGGCCCAGTGGAGCAGGAGGTGATGAGGAGGGGGGGGGGGGGGGGGTGAGGTCCAGCGTCCTCGGGAAGTGACAAGGCAATTTGGAGTCGCGAGCCGGTTGTAAGGAGGTAGTTTAGATTCTCAGTAAGACTTGAGGGAGTAGTTTAAGCTTCAAGGTAGACATGAGGAGAGTAGTTTAAGCTCCAAGAAAGACGTCAGGAAGTAGTTTAAGCTCCAAGAAAGACGTGAAGCAGTAGTTTAAGCTCCAAGAAAGACGTCAGGAAGTAGTTTAAGCTCCAAGAAAGACGTGAAGCAGTAGTTTAAGCTCCAAGAAAGACGTCAGGAAGTAGTTTAAGCTCCAAGAAAGACGTGAAAGGGTAGTTTAAGCGGGAAACATGTTTGCAAGCGAATAAATCTTCTAGGCAAGTGTCGAGTGCGTAGCTTCAGAACTCTGAAACCTTCGGCTAAGTAATTTAAGCTGTTATAATGTAAGTTATGCTCCTGGTAAACTGTCGGACACTTGCGTTAACCACTTGCTCACTGTCTAACGCACACCAACAATAACGCACACAAAGAATAACGCACACCAACAATAACTCACACAAAGAATAACGCTACTACAAATAATAACATACACAAAGCATCATTCTAAAGAATAACACCAAAATAAGGACAAATTACAAATAAGAATAACAATGTCTTGCAGTTGCCCATCACGTGGAGTGGGCTGAGCCGGGCTGGCCGAGTATGACCTCAGAAACATGGCAAATCAAGTGTTTGCCGGATGGCCAGCCAAGTTAAGTGCTGGGCGTCGACAACCTCTGCAATATCCAGTGAAATATCAGCAGTGTGTTGACTGGTCGGAGTCACACCGGCCCTGATGGGCGCGGTGTGTGTGTGTGTGTGTGTGTGTGTGTGTGTGTGTGTGTGTGTGTGTGTGTGTGTGTGTGTGTGTGTGTGTGTGTGTGTGTGTGTGTGTGTGTGTGTGTACGTATTTTAAAACCCTCGCAGCTCTTACGATTGTGTGTCGTGGGGGGATATAATGGCTGTTGCTCCGGCAGAATAGTCGTCCTGTTAACTGTCGGTCACACTGGAGTGTGTCGTTGCGGTCTGGTAGTGGTTAGGAAGCTAAGCGGGTGCTGGAGGCCTGACTTAACGTGTTTCCTTATCAAGATTTGTTTCCATCAAGAAGTACAGGAAGCGTCAGGCGGGGGATATGAAAGCAGGGTGCTACGAAGGCCTATCCTGGCGGAGTACCAACGTGGACAGTGGAGAAGGTGTTCGATAGTTCCTTCTTGCTTCGGTCATTAACAGCAGGCAGGGGTGTGTGCGTGGACTATACGTAGCTGTGTGGGACAAACAGGAAGATCCGGACGTGGTGAGGGAGGTCCAAGGGCTGGAAGAGCCGTCAGGTCGAAGGTTCGCCGCCCTTGTGGAAGAGTGCACCTAATCCAGTTGGTCAAAAAGCCTTGTACAGATCATTACCTATATTTGAAACTAAAATTTAAACTTGTGCACTGTTTAACATCTGCTTCCATATGCTGCTGAAATATGTGGCTGATCAGGTAACACTTTTCCCTTATCTAAAGTTAAGCCATTTTTTATTAATGATATTTTTAAATAAATCAAACTGTGGGAACTGTAAGCTGCCATGCAAAGTGACGACTTGACCGTGGCCCCTGGAGCCGCTGGCTCGGTCCCTGGAGCCACTAGCCCGGCTCTATCCCCTCTTTATTTTTCACCAGAAAATTATGTTCCAAGATCTAGGCCAACCGACCACGAACTCTTTTATAACATCAACTTCCTCTCTTCTTATATTTCTCACCTTTGTCCAAACTTTTGTTTCCAAACCTCAGTCTCAGTAATCGGCGCCAGGCTGACGGAGTGGCCTTAAATTAAAAGTTTGTATAAAACTCCTCCAAACTTACCCACACCAGTCACAAGGTGGCGACTTACCCCACACCTGCCCCAGTATAGTGATGTACTCACATCTGGCACTGTGTACCAAATTACCCACACCTACGTTAGGTGTACTAACACTGGGATAACAACGTACTCACAGTCGACACTACGACATGTTACACGTTCCCCCTGTCTCAACCCTTGACACAGGGGGTGCCCGAGGACCTGTGTCAACCCCTGACACAGGGGGTGCCCGAGGACCTGTCTCAACCCCTGACACAGGGGGTGCCCGAGGACCTGTGTCAACCCCTGACACAGGGGGTGCCCGAGGACCTGTCTCAACCCCTGACACAGGGGGTGCCCGAGGACCTGTGTCAACCCCTGACACAGGGGTGCCCGAGGACCTGTCTCAACCCCTGACACAGGGGGTGCCCGAGGACCTGTGTCAACCCCTGACACAGGGGGTGCCCGAGGACCTGTCTCAATCCTTGACACAGGGGGTGCCCGAGGACCTGTCTCAACCCCTGACACAGGGGGTGCCCGAGGACCTGTGTCAACCCCTGACACAGGGGGTGCCCGAGGACCTGTCTCAATCCTTGACACAGCGGGTGCCCGAGAACTTTCAACCTGTCCTCGGAGGATGGTAGAGAGGAATGAGGAGCTCACTAGGACGATGTCAGCCAGTAACCACAGGGCGACGTCCTGGGAACTGTAGAGAAGGGTATATATCTCGATTGATTGATGATTGATGAAGATTAAGCCACCCAAGAGTGGGCACGGGCATCAATAACCCGTAGTTTCTTGGCCAGTTGTCCGGAATAGATACACACACAGCCAGGGCGAGTGTTACCTCGTGACGTGTGCTGTAAATTCCAGCCTAGCCTAACCCCCACCAGAACCCTCACCCCACCCCCACCCGTTGTGGGTGGGTGAAGCTAGGCTGGAAATATTTACACACCCTCGGACTAATGACCATCGGCCTCATTAGGCTCGGTAGCATGTCTAGGTTCAAACGCTTGAGTTAAGACAAAAATATTAAATGATGGTGAAAGTGGAGCGCCAGTGTGGCTGCTTGAGTCGTTATCGCCACGAGAAACACAGCCGCCACTCTGAGCTACGCTGCGCCCCTCCACCACTAGTCTCCCGGCAGTGGCGGCTGCAAGTAGAGTGTCGTCCAATCCAGTGCCTCCTGCTGGCTCCCTCATGGCATCCTGGCACCAACTGGCATTGGTCCTGGTTCTTATAACCACGGCTGCCCTGCCCAGCTCCTCACAAAGTAAGGCCGAGCGAGCTATGTTGTCAAGACTATTAGATAGTTGGATATCTTAAAATCAGGCATAACATTGAGCTAGGCTGCGGTGTGAGGGGAAGTGTATGATAGCGAGTCGTCTCAAGTGGATGAGACGGAGGGAGAAAAAGAGAAATTTGACTGCTTCAAAAGTTTTTCTTATTTCTTTATTTTCCTCATCCAGGACGTTTCCTTTAAGATTCAAGAGTTTCGTTTCCTTCCAAAATTCCTGTATTTGACCTCCATGTTTAGCTAATTTGTTGTTTAGGCTAGTTACTTCCTGATTTCAAGATTACTTGTCTACTTCCGGAGCTGTTATCTTACTAAAGTTTTCATTATTACTCCTCAGATTCTTAACTATTTCTTTATAAAATGTTGCTGTGTTCTCAATTTTCATCAATCTGTTGTGAAAAAACACTCATGTTAATATTTTCTTCAATAAAACTAGCAAAATCCAACTTTTTGGTGCTGTCTTCTCTAATAGCGGCAGCCATTTTTGTTATTGTCGTCTGCTATTGTTTAGGTTGGCAACTTGATCCGCGCCCTATCTCTGAAATCTTTCCTATTTCTTTATTCTTTTAAAACCCTAATATACTTTCAGCAATTTTCTATGGCATAGAACTATACAATTCTTAGTCTATTTGGTCGACACTGCGCTGAATGAGTCTTTCTCCAAACTTTAAATTAGGATCTGACAGTTCGTTTCAATAGCTTTACTTGTCCAAAATTTTCACTCATTTTTTTATATATTTATTTTATCTCGGTTATTTTTCAAGTTGTCTATGCATTCATATTTCCTGCGACACATTTCACGGTCCTCAACCTGTTCTATAATATTTAGGTAGCTGGATTTAACCTAGAGCTCTTTGGGGTGTAGCTGTGTGTGTGTGTGTGTGTGTGTGTGTGTGTGTGTGTGTGTGTGTGTGAGTGTGTGTGTGTCAATAATATGTGGCTAGTGTTACATATGGTTGGAACAGTCAAGGAATATTAGTTATATTTCGGTCAGGCTGTAAAGTTAACGTTAGTCTGAATGTAAACTTTTGTTTACATTCAGATCTTTATTGAGTAGATCTTTATTTTTTAATTAATGCGAATATGTGAGTGAATACTTTGTTAAAATGTTAAAAACAAAATAGGTTGTTTTCAGAAATTGAGTTTCTTTTCCAATATTATTTTTAATTTTTTTAGAAATATATTTAAGAAATATATTATTTGTATATAATTTATTTTCGAAACGTACGAATGACACACCGCAATGTTTGGACAACTATTCCGGTGTGAAGCATTTGTCATTATTCAGAAATTCGAACGTAAAGGTAATAGAGAAACAGCGCCCCGTCGACACGCAAGTGTCATGTTAACACGCAACTCCCGGGTACTCACCTATTTGTGCTTGCGGGGGTTGATCTCTGGCTCTTTGGTCCCGCCTCTCAACTGTCAATCAGCTGGTGTATAGGTTCCTGAGCCTAGAGTTCCTGAGAGTCCCACCCCGCCTCTTAACTGTCAATCAACTGGTGTACAGGGTCCTGAGCCTAGAGTTCCTGAGAGTCCCGCCCCGCCTCTTAACTGTCAATCAACTGGTGTACAGGGTCCTGAGCCTAGAGTTCCTGAGAGTCCCGCCCCGCCTCTTAACTGTCAATCAACTGGTGTACAGGGTCCTGAGCCTACTGGACTCTATCATATCTACACTTGAAACTGTGACATCGTGCGTGGCATCACGTGCAAGACTGTATAGACCATGTAATTCTGATGCAGGGTTGGCGCCGAAGCTGGACCTATGTCCCCTGGCTTGGGATATCTCCCCGTGCACCTGTACCTGGGATGAGGACCTCGGCCAGCCAGACCTCTACTGCCCACACATTCAGAGCCTCGGCCAGCTACAAGACATCTTCGTGGTGAGTGGCGCGCACGGTGGGCGAGGCTGCTGACCAGTAAGCAAGTGAAACGAACTAAATGGACAAATAATAGCGAGGTTTATTTCTCTTCATTAATTTAAAAAGCAGATAAGACAAGACATGACGTGGTAAAGAGTTGTTTCGTTAGATGACCGACAGTTGCAAACGTGGGGTCCAGGAACTAAAACTTGCCGGTTGTAAGGACACGGTTAGACAAGAAAACAGAGTAGGGGACGCAAACAAGAAAATAGCTTTCACACTTCATATTACCTACACTAACCGGCTGCTTCTCTTTCCCAACTCTCGCTACCAACCAAAACACACTGCAGACGGCGTTCTTCCCGGTCAAGCGCTTCTGGAGGATCAGAGTGTCTGAGGCTCCGCTGGGAGACCTGCCTGAGGACGTCTTCAACGATGTCCAGTTCGACGAAGTTCATCTCAACTCGTGCAACATCACCTCCGTCCACCCCGACGCCTTCCGGGTCTCCAGACCCAACATGGACACCCTAGAGATGTACTCCAACTTGCTCACGGTAATGGTTCTCCAGCCTGGAGATGACCGCCATGGCTAGAGGCAGCCGTTGTTTACAACACTTCTCACACATTATTTGAATGTTCATCACAATGTTTTCATCCTGAGATTTGTCTGTGTTGCTGACAGAATGTTTAGGGGGGGGGGGTACTTCTTGTGGGATTCATTCTGTTGATTGCTGTTGACACTTCTTCAGTCTCCTGCACTCACTACCTCACTCCCTAACCCCTCACTCTCCACCCCTAACCTGTACTCAGATCTCATTCTCCACCCCTTCCCTCACTCATACTCACAACTACACTCTCCAAAACTCACCTGTGCTCAAACTTAATTTTCCATCTCTCACCCGTACTCTACCCCTCACTCTCAGCCCCCTCACTAACCTTCACCTCCGGCCTTCAGGACAAGAGCTTCCCATGGAGCAGTCTGGCAGAGTACGCGCAGCTGTGGCGCGTCAACCTCGAAAACAACCTCTTCTCTACCTTTCCCAACCTCACCACGGAGACACTCGAGGACCTCAACCTCTGGGGAAACCCCGTCACCACTTTCACGCGAGAGGCGCTGCAGGGAGCACCGAATCTCAGGATATTAGAGGTAGGGGGAGCAGGTCATATCACTTAATACACCGGGTGACCTTCCTTGGATCTGACCTTTCAGATCGATGACTAAAGACCATCTTGGGGGTCTGACTTTGCCGTCTCAACACCTGCAGACATGTGGCTTGACATGTGCCTCAGGTTCTGTTGTAATTGTGCATATTTAGCTGTTCTCTAAACAACTCGTCATCTCGAATAGTACATCGTATTTTAACGTATTTTATTTTAATTCCCCTGAGGACGAAAAGCGACGTGTTTAAAATCATAGCGACTCGCCAAATTGACGCGACGTTCCCTTTTTTTCAGTTTGAGGGTCCTCGGTTAGGTTAGGTTCGGGCAATTTAGCACATCAGTGTAGTGACGTTGTGAACGCCCGAGAGGACGGGCTGGGAGGAGACGTGGCCCATCATATCTCATATATGATGGGGCACTCCACCCCGTCCTCCTGCTGTTCCTTCTCTCACAGTCAATGTGTGTGTGTGAGGGAAGAGTGTGGCGGGTGAAGGGCAAGAATGACATGGGTGTACGTCACATGCCCCTCGGCAGGCGTCTGGGAAAAGCTCATCTTGCTCAAGAAGTTACTCAGAGCTTGCTGCTCTCAGAGATTTTGTTCAATACTCTCTCTCTCTCTCTCTCTCTCTCTCTCTCTCTCTCTCTCTCTCTCTCTCTCTCTCTCTCTCTCTCTCTCTCTCTCTCTCTCTCTCTCTCTCTCTCTCTCTCTCTCTCTCTCTATCTCTATCTCTATCTCTCTCTCTCTCTCTCTCTCTCTCTGTTTCTCTCTCTCTCTCCAGCTGCTTATGGATATCTTGCTTAAATATCCTAAATATAAATGTAAATTTTCTTTCCACGAAAGTGTGAATGACAATTTATATGATGGGTCACGTCGCATATATGACAAAACTTCTAGTATAAGGAAGCTATTCAGAGAACCCGGCTAACTCTTGTCATAAAACTCTTTAACCCTCGATACAGTATATATGGGGGTATGTTAATAATTAAAACAAAAATGTGCTGGGATAATATTGCTGAAGAGTTTATTATTATATGCAGCTTTTTGCGATATAAAACAATCAGTAAAATGTAGGCTAAATGCTAACACCACAGAATTGATGAGCTTTGTATTTTGGGGATGACAAGGTTAGGGACGAGTCCCCCGTCTGAAACACCTTTAATAGAGGAAAGTGGGGATAATGTCCAGCTTTGACCAGGGGGACTGGCCCACATTACCTGGATTATAGGCTCAAGCGTCGCCCTTGGTCACCGGCTGGTCATACCTCAGTTAAAGCTGTTCAAAATTCAGCATTTAGCATTGCTTCCTCGCCTCACTCACTTAAAAAACAGGTGGAGAAGGCCCCAAGAGAGTAATACTTAAATGCTTTGTTTACTATTTTAATCTGTAATGTGAAATGTGATTTTTGTTCTGTGATTTGTGGGTTTCTACTCACTGGATTTGTGAGCTTCTTGAGGGGACTTGAAATAGAGGGGGGTAGAAATAGCCTAAGCTACTCTATCCTTTTGAGATATATGTTATTGGCTCAATAAACGTACTTGAACTTGAACTTGAGCTGGAAAACGTTTGCTTCCTCGCATCACTTACTTTCACGACAGCTGGAGAATGTTTGCTGCCATCGATCAATTCCTCTCAATGTTTCCTTTAACTTTCCATCTTGTGTTTCAACTTGTTCAAATGTTTTAACTTCTGGGAAGAGACTGAGGACACTGGCCGCTGGCTCACTGCCTTCTGAAGGACACTGGCAGCTGTGTCACTGCCTTCTGAAGGACACTGGCCGCTGGCTTACTGCCTTCTGAAGGCAGTGGGGGGTCACTACTTTTTTGTACACACTGGGCACCGGGTCACTGTCCAAAGCTGTGACTGACAGTATCAACAACGAGTAATAAATGCAAAGTCTTCATATACGTTTAATTAAATTTGTAGCAAATAAACAGCTACCAAATATATTTTACACTTTATTGATTTTTATGTGAAATTTTAATAGCCTCAAGCGACGACGTCGCGCGGGTTAGGAACTACTTTCTTATTTTCAGTCTGGGGGTTGAAATTGTCTGGCCACTTTAACTGATTGGTACTACAACGGCATCGTTTTCTGAACGATCGGTATTCGATCCCCGTTGGTCCAAGTGAGCAGATTCTACTCCTTCCTCCCCCCCCCCTAGTCCTCATATCCCAACTCCTTGTCTTCATATCCCTTCCAAGCACTATATAGTCTAATTGGCCTAGCCGTTTCTTATAATTATCTTGCCTCACCCTGTGGCTGGGAAGGTGAGGCTGTTCTTGAGGACACACGGGATCACAGTCAAAATAAGTGTTTGAATGTGATAAACTGGTGTCATAAGAGATACCAGAGCTCCTCAGCTCCCTATGATCGTCCTCCCTAAACTCACATTATCACATCTTGATTAGGTAAGCCCTTATCTGGAGAGCTTCCCTGAGGACGCCTTCCAGGACCTGCACCAACTGGAGGAGCTCCACCTGAGTCACAATCTGCTGGGTGACCTCCGTCGGGGTCAGGTCACACTCAACTCCCCAGCATTCAAGTACCTGTACATCGCTGACAACGCCATCAGTAGCATAGAGCCAGACGCTATTACTGGTGGGTTCTAGTACCTTATTCAGTGGTACAAAAATACATTTGTTTAATGATTTAACAACAAAGATATAGCCAGCGACGGTGAAGGGACACAATGAAGCTAATTATCGACTCTGACACTGTGGCCTGGCCCTCTCCCGTCACAGGAGTGACCAGCACGCGACTTAAGATCTTCCTTCAAGACAACCTGCTGACCAAAGTGGAGGAGGAGGTGTTCTTGCCCCTCATGGCTCGCATGCTCGACGGCTGGGGAGAACTCGAACTCCAGGGTAAGTCCTCTGCTCGCTCCTCCTCCTTCGCCCTTACACTCCGCATGCCTTCTATGCCTCCTCATGCCTTCACACTTTCTATGCCTTCTACCGTTCCTTGTAGATAATTATTTTCCATTATTTTCCCTCTTTATTCCACTTTGCATGTCACTTATTGCTTCACTTTCCTTTACATTTATTCAGTTTCACTCTCCCTCGCTCTTTATTTCACTTTCCCTAGCTCTTTATTCCACTTTCCCTCATACACTATCTTCTGTCTTCAGCCTCACATGAAACCAAAGAAGAGAGGCAGATGAAAGCAGGTATGATTAGCCTCCCCACAGCAGACAACCCAGTCTTGTTGTTCAGTTGTAACTCCTCGACCCAACCCGCGACCCCCTGCCGGTGTCCTAGTTACTGACTCTTGTGTCTGCGGACAGGTAACCCGCTGGTGTGCGACTGTGACATGTTCTGGTTCCTCAGCAACGACACTCTGCTCGACAACGTCCGCTCTGGTTCCTGCGGCGGAGTCGACCTCCACGACGTCGACATCTCTTCCTGGAATTGCTAGTAGCGGTGTCATCCCTTGAAAAGGCTGGCGTACCTCCACATCTTACGCTGGATCTTGCATCAGCTTCTACATCCCCCCTTCCCTCAAGAGACATTAATATCATCGTCTACCACAGAAATTGTTAGAGCTGCCAATATTACCTGGAACTGTCAGAGACGTGATGGGTGTGGCGCAGGTCCTGTAAAAACACATTTATCCCATTTAGTGTAGGATATGTCATCAATATGGTCCAAGAGTCACCCGTTCTCTTCCGAGTGCATGTTGATGTAACCAATTTTTTTGGCAGCTGAAGCCAATACTATTTCGACATTTCTTTACAGCAGAACTTGTGTAAGGGTTTTAAGTGAAACAGATACCAATAAAACTTAATAATAATAAAAAAAAGATGTTTAATTGCATCAGTGGTTGTGACGACCTCTGGGGCTAGGGAGTGAAGTGTGTTATCTAGGGTTGCCTCCCCTCCACCGTCTCTGTCTCTCTGTCTCTCTGTCTGTCTCTCTGTCTCTCTGTCTGTCTCTCTCTCTCTCTCTCTCTCTCTCTCTCTCTCTCTCTCTCTCTCTCTCTCTCTCTCTCTCTCTCTCTCTCTCTCTCTCTCTCTCTCTCTCTCTCTCTCTCTCTCTCTCTCTCTCTCTCTCTCTCTCTCTCTCTGTCTCTCTCTCTCTCTCTGTCTCTCTCTTTCTCTCTTTCTCTCTCTCTCTCTCTCTCTCTCTCTCTCTCTCTCTCTCTCTCTCTCTCTCTCTCTCTCTCTCTCTCTCTCTCTCTCTCTCTCTCTCTCTCTCTCTCTCTCTCTCTCTCTCTCTCTCTCTCTCTCTCTCTCTCTCTCTCTCTCTCTCTCTCTCTCTCTCGTATTGAATTCGCAGAAGCTGGAGTGTTCGTCTCGTTAGTGCCTCGCTCACGCATCACCTGGTAGTGAGGTTCGTCAGTAAGACTGACTGCATTTCTAATCAATCGCTGGGTAGCGAGTCCCTGTAGGTGGCGGCGGCGGCGTGGGGGTGGTAGCTACCTTCTCCCTACCACAAAACTCAAGGCTGGAAAGTTTTATGCTGTGAATCGAGTGGGGGGTCAAGGACATCGTCTGTCATGGACCTCATTTCTTCTCTTCATTGCGTTTGTTCTGAAACAGCAAAACTATTACTGCAAAGTGTAACTCTCAAGGCACTAGATTCTATTTGTGTATTGGTGACAACTTAATAAATGTAAGTTATGTAAGAGATGTTGTCTCTCTCCAAAAGCGTGGCCAGAGGTCACGTCTGCCTGTGGGCTTCGCGTCTGCCACCAATACCAAAATATGCCCAATATGCTAATGCAACAATATTAATTTATATTTGAGAAAATTCCCGTTTTGAATAAACAAGATGCTAAAATTGACGAATGTGTCTTTGGGGGTCGACCGCTGGATGGAATGGATTTGGTCTGAGGACCATGAGCCAGATTCACGAAAGCAGTTACGAAAGCACTTACGAACGTGTACATCTTTCCTCAGTCTTTTACTTCTTTGGTTACATTTATTAAACTGTTTACAAGCATGAAAACTTCCCATTCAACTGTTGTTATTGTTATAAACAGCCTCCTGGTGCTTCGGAGCTCATTAACTGTTTAATAATTGTAAACAAAGCCGCCAAAGATTGAGAAAAGATGGACAGGCTCGTAAGTGTTTGCGTAAGTGCTTTCGTGAATCTGGCCCCGTAAATATAGAGTGTGACTCCCGCGCTGCGAGTTACCGGCAAGAGAAGCTCAGCTTGTGCCACAGACCGCCGAGTAAATATGGCAGCACCAGCAGCACACACTTGCCCATCCTGCTGCTCTTGTTCTCATTATCTTTGTTGATGTTTTCGGCGTCGACGTCAATTTTAGTGAGGACTCAGAGTGAGAGAGATTCGTCTGTGTTTACGTTCGTGTTACCGTACTGTGAATTCGAAAATCATTAGTGTGACATTAAGTGTATTCTGACGCATGTGACGTTAAGTGTATTCTGATCGTATCGAATCGAGATACTGTTAGTGAATCTTGAGGTCTATCAACCTCTCGGCCGAGACTGTGGAACATGGCCAATATCTAAGAAAAGCGTCCTACAAGAAAAGTGTTTTAAGTCAAATTTACAGCGAAAATACTGCCTAATCGCTGAGGATTTGCCCCCACGACCATACGATTTAAGGACATGTAAGTACTCTCGTAGTCGTTGATTATTTTTTTTTATAAAACATTGTAAAATATAATTTTTTTTATAAAGCCTTGTAATATTATTACAAAGTTAAATTTCGGGATTCGTCAAGACCAAGAATTCATTTCATTATTCCAGGAAAGACATTTTCACAAAGATTTGATGAAACAGGGCAAGGGTTTCCATGCCTTATGTGAATTCAGCGTTTTGTCTATTACGGTAAGTCCTTCAGGCAGAAAAGCCTCCCTCCGGACTGAGGTGCCTTGACCTCCTCCCTTCCCCCACAGTAGTGCTCCGAATATTCCTCCTCCACAGTAATGCAAGGACAGTTTCTCCTCCACAGTAATGCTGGGAATGAACTTTTTTCCCCTACAGTAATGCTGGGAGTGAGTCTCTACCCCCACAGTAATGCTGGGAGTGAGTCTCTACTCCCACAGTAGTGCTGGGAGTGGGCCTCTACCCCCCACAGTAATGCTGGGAGTGAGCCTCTACCCTCCACAGTAATGCTGGGAGTGAGCCTCTACCCCCACAGTAATGCTGGGAGTGAGCCTCTACCTCCCCCACAGAACTGCTGGGAGTGAGCCTCTACCCTCCACAGTAATGCTGGGAGTGAGCCTCTACCTCCCCCACAGTAGTGCTGGGAGTGAGCCTCTACCCTCCACAGTAATGCTGGGAGTGAGCCTCTACCTCCCCCACAGTAGTGCTGGGAGTGAGCCTCTACCCTCCACAGTAATGCTGGGAGTGAGCCTCTACCCCCACAGTAGTGCTGGGAGTGAGCCTCTACCCCCACAGTAGTGCTGGGAGTGAGCCTCTACCCCCACAGTAGTGCTGGGAGTGAGCCTCTACTCCCACAGTAGTGCTGGGAGTGAGCCTCTACCCCCACAGTAGTGCTGGGAGTGAGTCTCTACCCCCACAGTAGTGCTGGGAGTGAGTCTCTACCCCCACAGTAGTGCTGGGAGTGAGCCTCTACCCCCACAGTAGTGCTGGGAGTGAGTCTCTACCCCCACAGTAGTGCTGGGAGTGAGTCTCTACCCCCACAGTAGTGCTGGGAGTGAGCCTCTACCCCCACAGTAATGCTGGGAGTGAGCCTCTACCTCCCCCACAGTAGTGCTGGGAGTGAGTCTCTACCCCCACAGTAATGCTGGGAGTGAGCCTCTACCTCCCCCACAGTAGTGCTGGGAGTGAGCCTCTACCCCCACAGTAGTGCTGGGAGTGAGTCTCTACCTCCACAGTAATGCTGGGAGTGAGCCTCTACCTCCCCCACAGTAGTGCTGGGAGTGAGTCTCTACCCCCACAGTAATGCTGGGAGTGAGCCTCTACCCTCCACAGTAATGCTGGGAGTGAGTCTCTACCCCCACAGTAGTGCTGGGAGTGAGCCTCTACCCTCCACAGTAATGCTGGGAGTGAGTCTCTACCCCCACAGTAATGCTGGGAGTGAGCCTCTACCCCCACAGTAATGCTGGGAGTGAGCCTCTACCTCCCCCACAGTAGTGCTGGGAGTGAGCCTCTACCCCCACAGTAATGCTGGGAGTGAGCCTCTACCTCCCCCACAGTAGTGCTGGGAGTGAGCCTCTACCCCCACAGTAGTGCTGGGAGTGAGCCTCTACCTCCCCCACAGTAGTGCTGGGAGTGAAGCTCCACACTGAGAATAGCCGTGAACGAGGTGCCGGGAGTAGAGGTGGCTGAGCATCACTAAGCGTGTCGTATTGTACCAGATTAAATACTTTCCAGGATCTTAAAAATGTTTGTCGCTCGGGGCAGTTGTCTCCTACACCCGATATTGTTCTCTTTGTTTACACACTTTCATTATCCCGCGAGTTTGTTCGCTGTGGATTATATCGCGAATCTGTTAATTTTGTTTTGTTGTGCCCAGAAGGGTGAGTTTATTGGGCAGCGCCACTCATTCTGTGAGTGGACACACCGCCATAGTGACAGTATTGGGCAGCGTCACTCATCCTGTGAGTGGACACACCGCCATAGTGACAGTATTGGGCAGCGTCACTCATTCTGTGAGTGGACACACCGCCATAGTGACAGTATTGGGCAGCGTCACTCATCCTGTGAGTGGACACACCGCCATAGTGACAGTATTGGGCAGCGTCACTCATCCTGTGAGTGGACACACCGCCATAGTGACAGTATTGGGCAGCGTCACTCATCCTGTGAGTGGACACACCGCCATAGTGACAGTATTGGGCAGCGTCACTCATTCTGTGAGTGGACACACCGCCATAGTGACAGTATTGGGCAGCGCCACTCATTCTGTGAGTGGACACACCGCCATAGTGACAGTATTGGGCAGCGTCACTCATTCTGTGAGTGGACACACCGCCATAGTGACAGTATTGGGCAGAGCCACTCATTCTGTGAGTGGACACACCGCCATAGTGACAGTATTGGGCAGAGCCACTCATTCTGTGAGTGGACACACCGCCATAGTGACAGTATTGGGCAGAGCCACTCATTCTGTGAGTGGACACACCGCCATAGTGACAGTATTGGGCAGAGCCACTCATTCTGTGAGTGGACACACCGCCATAGTGACAGTATTGGGCAGCGTCACTCATTCTGTGAGTGGACACACCGCCATAGTGACAGTATTGGGCAGCGTCACTCATTCTGTGAGTGGACACACCGCCATAGTGACAGTATTGGGCAGCGCCACTCATTCTGTGAGTGGACACACCGCCATAGTGACAGTATTGGGCAGCGTCACTCATTCTGTGAGTGGACACACCGCCATAGTGACAGTATTGGGCAGAGCCACTCATTCTGTGAGTGGACACACCGCCATAGTGACAGTATTGGGCAGAGCCACTCATTCTGTGAGTGGACACACCGCCATAGTGACAGTATTGGGCAGAGCCACTCATTCTGTGAGTGGACACACACAGTCATGTCAGCCTCTACAACACTCCCCAATAGGAAGAAAAGCCGCTGGGTTGTTCATCCTGTCACTTGTTCCCAAACACAGCTGGGACTTAACCGTCTGAAGTGAACAGCTTATCAAACAAGAAGATTAGTTATTTAGATAACTCTAAAGTTACGTTATCTTGCGGGTGTAAAGTGGGGGGAATCTTTTTAAGAACATTAGAAATCTATCCTCACCGGATTTCTTGCCTGTGGGTAGGTGGGTTAAGTGTAATTGTAGTTCAGTTGGGATGTTGTAAATGTTGTGGGTGCCAAGCGTGGGCAGTAGGACTGCATGTTCACTTTCTTCCTTGGGGCAGAGTTCTCGGGCATGGATGAAAGTGATCGAGAGAGTCATGAAGGACATTTGCCCGTTTTTTGGGGTGTTTGACAGTGTTCCGTTGAACACTGAAAAGTTCGTGAAAGTTCATGAAAGGGGGATGAAGTAAAGGCTGGAGGGGGCGGGTGGGGGGGGGGGCTTTAATGTAGCTGAACGTAGCCCAGACTTGTTGATGTGTAAAGTCAATCCCTATATTGATTTTTCACAGGTGTAAGTGATGTTGTTTCTTGTCTGTCCTGATGGGAAGTTGACCCTTTGTTCTGGTTCTATTTTATTGGAGTGACCGAGTCAGTGTGTTGGTGGACTTGGTAGTTCAATAATGAGTCGAGATGAACTACTTACAACTCTGCAGAGTGGGTTGTAATGCGTGAAAGTTACAACGTAGATTGGTTGGTATGGTTCTGCTTCTTGTAGGGTCGGCGTTCGATCCCGAGGGTCAAAATGGATGGGCAACGTCCCTTCACTCCATTGTCTTCATATATTTTTAAGTGCTGTGTAATAATACCGGCTTGGTGCTTTCTCCTTATAATTGTCTTTCCTTAGCTAGCAACAGAGGACCAAGGCTGAGTATATCTGTGGTGGGCAGTGAAGGTGTCTTTAAGTTTGGTGGGTTGTTAGTTACTTATATATGGATTTGGCTTGTTAGTAGTTGGCTGTCTATATGCAGGTGTATGTATTAAGTTTAGGTGAGTGTTTAGGTATTAACACTACTGAGGTGCTGGTGTGAACATATGGCAAGTGTGTAAGTTTCAACAAGGCGGAAACTGCTGCAGCTGTCGCACCTGCTGAAGAGTAAAGTTAACATCAGTCTTTCAAAGTCTTGTAATAAATCAACCAACCAAGAAGGTAAAGAAAACGCTTGACTTCGCTATAAAGAAAATCTAATCACGACAGAGTCCAATTTTTTTTATTCCACCTATCCCGGCCTCACCCTTTGAAAGTGGAGGGGGCTGGATGGGTGCTATAGAGGGCTGTGGGGGAGAGAGAAGAGAGAGAGAGAGAGAACTATGAGGAGACAGCACTTAGCCATTATGACCATTAAGCACTGGGAAGGGGTCAGGATAAGGATTTGGGATTTGACGGGGGAAAGGAATGGTGCTCAACCACTTGGACGTAGGGGGCAGATAAGGGAGGTCGGGGTTGGGGAGGAGAGTTGTGGCAACTTGGAAGACAATATCGTCTAAATCGATTTGGCAAAACCAATGCGCTTCTGGCCAACGTCGAACTCTGTGTAGTAGTCGGCGATGAATGGGTCTCCAAGGATCCAGGCTTCGATGGTGCCCAGGTCGAGCCCCAGGATGCCCACAATGCAGGTCTTGGCTCCGGTGGCCTCGTCCACGTTCTGTGCCCAGGAGGGAGAAGAACAGATGGTGAGGTCAGGGAGAGGCGGAGGACACGATAAGTAGTAGAACACAGTAAGGACCGACAACATTACTCAGGCATCGTATTGGGCAGTTTTTGTTTTTTGCCGACAAAAGTCATTCTTGCCGTGAAATTGTTATAATGTGAGCATCGTGAGCGTTGATGCATTAGTTCGGGGTGAGGGCGCTCTCTGCTCTTAGTGTCCAAGACTTGGAGGTGTTTAGTGACCCTATCGTATCTCTGGCATTTAGTGACCACCCTCATAACTCTGGCGTTTAGTGACCCTATCATATCTCTGGCATTTTGTGATCCCTTGTAATTCTAGCGTTTAATTACCCTTTGTAACTTTGCCATTTAGAGTCTTCGTGACTTTGGAAGTAAATCTTTGATCTTCAGTGACCTTTCTTAGCTTTAAAATTAAGTGAACCGTTCTGTCATCTGGTAACCTCCCTTGGCTACTTGATCTCTAGTGATACTTAATATTTACAGATGATGTTTCCATGACCCCATTGGATTATCATGACTCCTTTGAACTCACATGATATACTTGGACACGTGAATTCTTAAGACCTAACTTGATTTCTCACTACTTAACGCGTTTACTAATAGACCCAGTTACTCTTGCGTACAGTACACAGCAATCCCCTTCTATAACTACTTTTATCTTTTGGCGAACTGCTTCGCCATCTCCTGACCTACCTCGATGACCAGCTCGGGTCCTGTCAGGTCGAAGTCCTGGCCGTTGAGGGTGAAGGTGAAGAGCGGCATCTCCTCCACCTTGTCGCAGTTGATGAGGTACTCTCCAGCAAGGAAGGCGAACCCTCCTAACTGGGTTACGATCTCCTGTAGAAGGGCGAGGGAGCCGTAGTTAGGAAGGGGGAGAATCCATCTCCCCAATGTGTAGGAGTATAATGCCAATATCTGTATGTTTGATGGACTCAAAGAGGTCTAGCAACTCGTCCCATAATTGGCTTCTATGACCCAAGCTGCATGGCGTCACAGAAGTCATTTGATGGACTCACCTTGACCTCATCTTTGGGTCCAGCGATGAGGGAGGTGCCGGTGTCGACGATGGCCTCACACGGGCTGCAGAAGGTCGTGTCTACGCCTCCGACCTTAATCCTGCCGAGGAAGATCAGTCAGTCAATGTCAACACACATCGTCTACAATGCCGTCATTAGAGCATGACACGCACCAAGCATACTTTATACACTTATCTGAGATGAAGATAACGCACATGCTGGCCATGCGCATTCACAGATGGAAGTGATGGTTGTGGTACTAGTAATGATGGTGGTGCTGGTAGTGGTGCTGGGAATAATGGTACTGGCAGTGATTTTGGTAGTGGTATTGTCAGTGGCTGTGGAAACTGTCAGTGGTACTTACGCCTCGGCTGTGATTTGCCAGTAGCCCACCCTGGAGACTGGGACGTAGTGGAACTCTCCCTCGTAGTGGTTGGGGTCTGACCCGCCCAGCACCAGTTCCCCTCCGAGCGTCTCGGTCATGTCACTGTAAACAAACAATGGTCACCCGGAGTATGGTATAGTTCGCTGCTTCTCTCCACGCAGACAATCACCTCACTATTACACGTTCAGTTGAACGTTTTGCTGCATCTTTTTCTGTTCGGATTGTGGCCACAATATAGAATATTATTTGCTCTAAGTTGCATAATTATGAAGATATAATGCAATTGGCTTCTAAGTCAACTTACAGATTTACGTGAGATATTGAAATTTATAGGAGAGAAGGACGACTTAATTTGTCATTAAACATAAACTTCGTCTTAAGTACAAAACTTGGTCTTGCTATTATATATCTCAGCTCGGAAGGTACGCAATATTTCAGTCACATTAACAAGGTTTATGCTTCTTTTCATTTTGGCGCTCAAAGATATGCGGATCATAGGTTGTATAGCCTGAAGCATATCGGGGTCCATTGGTTAAGGCCCGAGTCTGGGGCTACACAGGCTGCAAGATCAATCCCCGTCGTACTCCAAAGATTTTGTCACGCATACCCACACACACTCAGACACACACTCAGACGCACACTCGGACACACACTCAGACGCACACTTGGCGACACTATCCGACGCACCCACTGGAATACACACTCGAACACATACTCAGGAGCCCTCATCCCACCCTCCTCACACATATGTGTGTGTAAGAGGAAGCCTCACACTTACATATATACACACAACTCACACAAGTTGTGAGCACAAAGGAAAGGTATATATATATGCTTGATGATGAGTGCCAGGTTAGTGATGTAGCGCTCTCGTCACTCACTGGTTAAGGAAGAAGGAGAAAATGGGTTCATCGACGACGCCCTGAGCCACCATATTGTCGAACACTGTGGGGATTCCCATGACGGAGATCTCGACGAAGCCCATGCCCAAGATGCCGTCGAACACGCCCGCCAGGAAGGCTATGCCAGGCTCGTGGGTGGCCTCAGCGAAGGTCTGGTCAACGACAGCCAAGTCCCCGACTGCCACCGTGTCGCTGAAAGAGCGGTCAGTCTCACCCAGTTGTCAGTTTCACTTCAAGTGAAACTGTAATAGTCACGAATTTATTTAAACTATTTGTGCAGGAAAATTAAGGTGAAATATATATTTAAAGTGGGACATTTGGTATCTCACATGACTGCAAGGGTCTCTCGACGCCTCGGGCCAAAGCTCACCTGGAAAGGAAGCCGGTGAGGGAGCCAGAGCCGTACTCTATGGCGAAGTCGGTGCCGTTGGCTTTGTAGGAGGAGGAGAGCGTGGAGTCGTAGCGGTTGTGCGTCTCTGTAAGGAGGAGTCCAAGCATTACAAGGGCTTCTTACGCTTCCTACAACTGTAAAGGAGGTACTCGTTGTCTAGTGGAAGTGCTTAGTTCTGTGCAACACTGTAGAAAAAAAGTATTTCTCCTTCCTAGAGCGATTGCTGCCGCTATTATATTTTTCTATGTAAAACGAATGTGTTTTAGTTGAATAGTTGAGCAACATAGCACACGTTAACACGCAAGAGTAACTAAGAGAATTTTTTCCATGTCGTAGCTCACTCGATTAAGGCAGCGTTTGGGATCCTCTCGGACTTAGATTCGAACCCTCGTCACGGCCCTCGTGGATTTGTTCAACTAAGATAATAGTTCGAATACCCATAAACCAGCTAGTTATTGGTCGAAGGGCGACGACGATCGGGGGATCGGATGCGCCCAAACCAGCTAGCCAGTCCATTCTCTTAAATTATTATCCTGTAGGGTTTTGAGAAGTTCATTGTGAGGGCTAAAGATTTAAACCACTCTTATGCATAGATATCTTGACCATGGCCTGAACAATTCTTCAATGTGAAGAGAAGTGCAAGAATACGTTGATTTTATTGCAAATCATCAGTAGCTTAGGAATTAAGTGATTATCTTTTGGGACAGTGTGATTACATTTGAATACTACGTGATTACATCTGGAAACTACGTGATTACCATGGGGGGACTAATTAATGTTAAATGTTTGGGGACATATATAATTTTGTATATTTCTGTAATGAGGTGTGTGTGTGTATACCTTTTTTACCTGTTGATACAATCTTCTTTCAGCAAAGTAACATTGCAGACATAGGAATATGAAAGTTTTGCCTATATTGCTGCATCAGCAGGCTCTCTGTCTGTCTTTCTCTGTCTCTGTATTTCTCTCTCCTCTCCTCTCCTCTCTCTCTCTCTCTCTCTCTCTCTCTCTCTCTCTCTCTCTCTCTCTCTCTCTCTCTCTCTCTCTCTCTCTCTCTCTCTCTCTCTCTCTCTCCTTCGTTGTTTCCTATTCCCATCACCTCTCCCTTACCGCCGCTGTCCCCGCCTATAGCAACGTGTAAGGGGCTACTCACGACAGGCCAGGTTGATGATGCTGCACTGTTCAGACGGCACCCAAAGGTTGGACGATCCAGTGTCGAAGATGATATCAAACCCTTGCCCGGGCGTCCCGATGCTAATGGGTCCATAGTACTGAGCCTGTAGGTAAATGGGGGCAGGTGGTAGGAATCGTGGCAGTGGTTGGCTGGTTGTTATAATTCAGACTGTGGCGATGGTGTTTGTGATGCGATCTGTGTGATGATTGTGGTTGTAAAGGTGATGCTGGTAGGATAAGTTATGTAAGGGGAGGTAGTTGTTGTTGTTTTAGATTCAGCTACTGGGAACAAAGAGTTCCAAGTAGCACGGGCTGTGGTGAGCCCGTAGTGGACTTGTCTGGCACAGGAGCGGTGCTGTCCCTCTGTGAGGGGGGTAGATTGATTGATTGATGAAGATTAAGCCACCCAAAAGGTGGCACGGACATGAATAGCCCGTAAGTGGTGGCCCTTTTGAGCCATTACCAGTATCAAGAAATGATACTGGAGATCTGTGGAGGTGCAACTGCACCCTGCGTGACGGGAGATGTCTCCCGTGGAGAGGGGGTAGGAAGTGGGGGGATTAACATAGGTGGTGTTCGTGAGGGGTGTCGAGGTGTGGTGGTGAATGTGAGGGTCACGCGGTGTTGGGGGTTAATCTGGTGGCATTGATGTGATGATGGTGAGTGCCTGAAGCACCTATGAACCCAGTATTTTGCAACAGTTCGGTTGGTAACAACATAGAATTGTTGGTTTTAAACTCAGTTTTGTTTAGAAAGGAAATACCACCTAGGTATCGACAGATACAACAAGCAACAATATCCCGCTACGGTAAAAATAACAATTTACGATTTAAAAATTGGGTTAAATATAAGAAAACTTTTAGAAAAATCTTCCCAAGCCTCTTGAAGAGTCAAGAGAGCGCGAGGCTCTACCTAACTCTTCTCGACTGCTTCTTAAGGCGTGCCCTGAACGCCTAATTTTATATCTGACTTTAAAGCTGAAAATTGGATTACTCGTTTGACCTGTGCAGTAAGTAGTGTAGAGTGTCGCACTCACGTCTTGGTAGTCGTCGATGACGATGATGTCGTCCTTGGCGCCGTAACGGTGAGCCAGGAAGGCGTGGGAGCGACGGAGGTCCTGCAGGGTCCTCTTCCGCTCCACCTTCTTCAGCGGCACTCTGAGGGGGAGAAACGACAACCTGGAGATGGCTGACGGTGTTTACCCTGGCAACACTGACAGCTTCTCGTCAGCTGCGTAGCGCAAGCCTGGGCGGGGAGGGAGGGAGGGAGGGAGGAGGCTCTATTGTCGTCACGGGACTTGTTCTGTGGTTCATGGTTTAGCGAAGGGTTTCCGGGGGCCCTGATGTCAAACACTGTCATGTCTAAATTGTTTAAATTAAGGTACTATTGTGTTAAAGGCAATAATAAACAATTCTGTATATCGATATATTTATAAAAATATTTTTTTTTAGGAGTTACCTTTTTCTGTAGGTTTTATTGATTCTTTAAAGAACATTTGACATACTTTTCATCTGTATTTTTCCCATGGTCACACGCGGGGATGGTGCTCAGTATATAGATCACTAATAACAATGATAACCATCTTTGACGTGTATTGACTGTGTCAAGGATGCCACGGCCTAATCTAAAGCATAGACTATCGCCTCAGTTTGGAGTCTTAACTAGCACTAAGCAGCAGGAGGAGGAGGAGGGACTACAGAGCTATACAGTTGCGCATGCGCTACTGGTACTGATACTGTTGTTATATTTCATGTGTTGTATTTTATTGAAATGTGCCCAACCACTTGGGCTGGACGGTAGAGCGACGATCTCGCTTCATGCAGGTCGGCGTTCAATTCCCGACCGTCCAAGTGGTGGGGCACCATTCCTTCCCTCCCCCCGTCCCATCCCAAATCCTTATCTTGACCCCTTCCAAGCACTATATAGTCGTAATGGCTTGGCGCTTTACCCTGATAAATTCTAAGTCTTATCTGGTGATGATAAAGGAGTCTGGTAACTATAAGATATAGTGTTATTGGGCTAAATATTTACCATCCTATAAATTACTAGGGAGCGTTCAACTGTAATATATTTCTGTGTTTTTTCTTGTCAAGTATTTGTGTGAGTGTGACCGGTGCCAGCTTAACCTGGGGTCAGTATCGACTCCCAATGTGGCTGAAATAGCTAACTGATTTTGGCAAAATAAATCATCTCATTAATTGGCTTATTAGGTTTTGCGGAATTCTTGCAGTTCCCTCAGCAGTCTATTACGTTCTACGTGCAGTCGTTGCTCTAAATTGTCGTAGATTGTTATATCTGGCTAAGTAGTGTTGTAAGTTCAGTACGTACTGAAGGGTGTGGGCGCGTTACGTGCACCTACAAGCACGCAACATTAGTTCAAAGGAACTTATGTTCCTCTGAACTAACGGGAACACGAGTTCCTTTATGCATTTTGCAGTAGTGTGCTTCCGTGCCTCTCCGCCCAGGATGGCCCCCACTCCCCGTCCTTCTCTGGACACCAACCTGTGGATTTCGGCAGCGACCAGGGCCACCAGGAGCAGGAGGCAGGCGAAGGACTTCATGTTGGTGTGAGAGTGGCGGGTGATGTTGACGGGTTGATCCCCCGTGTGACACTGACCGTCACCTCACCTCTCAGTCTCTTATACTCTCACTCGTCGGGAGGGTTGGGAAATGTTGGGAAAATGGGTGTTAATCTCCCGTCTGCCTTATCTCTTTCTCACGCGCGCACACGCATACGCGCGCAAACAGGTTGTGAGAAAAATTACGGTCCAAGAGCTAAGAGCTCGATCCTGCAAGCATCAAACTCTCACACACGCGCGCGCGCGTACACACTCCATCTAAAAAACTCAGAAGAAAACTCGAAAAGGTTCAAAAGTTTGCAATGAAACTCGTCACAGAATTGTGGCGGATGGGGTATAAAGCGAGACTGAAGGAACCAAACCTGATGTCGCCAGAAAAAGAGCAGAGAGAGTGGGAGACATTATATAAACGTATAAAATACTTAGGGGGGATTGACATATGCTACACTATGAAACTGTCCGTCGTCTAATTCAGTGATTACCGACCTATTTGTTTTTGTCGTATGTATCTTTACTTTTGTAGATGGAAGAGGTTGTATTTTTCCCTTCTAGTATGTCCCACTTGTTTTCTGCCCTTACCCTCAAATGTTTTCTCACATCTCCCTGATGGCCCTGTTACCTAGCAGTAAATAGGTACCTGGGAGTTAGACAGCTGCTACGAGCTGCTTCCTAGGGGGTGGAAGCCTGGTCGAGGACCGGGCCGCGGGGACACTAAGCCCCGAAATCATCTCAAGATTACCTCAAGATAGATCCCTGTGGCTCGCCTGCGTGTCTTGCGTTCATTCTTGTTCTGTTCAGTCTGCCGACTTATCCCTTTCTTGTGTGATCTCATTCTCTCGTAGAACTCTAATAAGTTTCATAGGCCTGACTTAATTCACTGAATCCGTGTTGGTGCTTTGTATTGAAGTTTATCTCCTGGTTTTACCTTATTCTCTCAAACATTCTGCACGATGGGCTTGTTGAGGACATTGGTCTGTAGTCGAGTGATGTGTCTCTCTTCCCCTTCTCGTGTATTGGCGTGACTGGTGCCTCCTTCCAGCTAATTTGGACAATCCCTGTCACCAGTGATGAGTCGTAGGTCATTTTGTGCAGTGCTGGAACGAAATGTTTGTGTGTATACTCGCCTATTTGTGCCTGCAGGATCAAACTGTTAGCTCTTGGACCCTCCGTTCTAACTGTCGTTTTTCTAATCTTCTCCCAGCCATTTTTCCTCTATTATATCTACTATATATCTCTCTTACACACACACATATGCGCAGGATGCAGCCCACAACAGCTGTCTAACTCACAGATATCTATTTATCGCTTCGTGAACAAACGTGTCTGACATAAACTCTGCTTAATTATTTCCATCTCGGCTGGGAATCGAACCCTCGATTATGAATATTAGACGCTGACCACTCAGCCGCGAGACCCTATGTATGAGTGTGCGTGTAGAGAGAGAGAAAGAGGGAAGTGAAGGGAACTATCAAGAGAAAGCGCCAAGAAATTGGACTATATAGCACTTGGAAGGGGTTAGGATAAGGATTTGGGATGGGACGGGAGGGGGAAAGGAATGGTCCCCAACCACTTGGACAGTCGGGGATTGAACGCCGATCTGCATGATTTGCAGAGAGAGAGAGAGCGAGCGACCAGCTGGAGTCTCTGGTTATCACAGCAGGGAACTCGGGCTGCCCAAGGTACCATGGATCACGACTCGCTTCTTTCCGCTACATATCCTCTCCAGCCGGCCAAGGACACGCTCCGGGTTGCCGTGAGTGCAACCAGTGGCGGGTCTGTGTGTTGCTGGCGAACATTGCAGTCAGAGCCAACATATTACTGATAGCTTCATACGATTTCCACGTAGACATTGTTTAGACCTTCCCCATACCTGCGTCAGGTAGTCACTAGGAAGGTCCTCGCGGCCTTCCTCAGCCTTGTGTCAGGTAGTCACTAGGAAGGTCCTCGCGGCCTTCCTCAGCCCTGCGTCAGGTAGTCACTAGGGAGGTCCTCGCGGCCTTCCCCAGCCCTGCGTCAGGTAGTCATCAGGGAAGCTCTCGGATGACGTAAGAGCCACCTGCCGAGCAGATGGCTTCGTCTCACCAACCATCAGGTGATAATTTGGGTCTTCCCGAGACAGTTACACAATCTTCCCTCTTCCCAATGACTATTGTTAATATCTGGCTAGTAACTACCTTCCCCTTGCCCCTCCCTCCCTTCCCTCTCCATTCTTCTTCTCTCCTTCCTTCCCGCTTCCGTCTCTCTCTTACTTATCCGTCTATTCCAGAGAACCACAAACACCATGGAAAGCATTGCCTCCGAAGACGTCCTCACAATCAACGACTGCATTAGACGTCCTCACAGTCAACGACTGCATTAGACGTCCTCACAGTCAACGACTGCATTAGACGTCCTCACAGTCAACGACTGCATTAGACGTCCTCACAGTCAACGACTGCATTAGACGTCCTCACAGTCAACGACTGCATTAGACGTCCTCACAATCAACGACTGCATTAGACGTCCTCACAGTCAACGACTGCATTAGACGTCCTCACAGTCAACGACTGCATTAGACGTCCTCACAGTCAACGACTGCATTAGACGTCCTCACAGTCAACGACTGCATTAGACGTCCTCACAATCAACGACTGCATTAGACGTTCTCACAATCAACGACTGCATTAGACGTTCTCACAATCAACGACTGCATTAGACGTCTTCACAATCAACGACTGCATTAGACGTCCTTACAATCAACGACTGCATTAGACGTTCTCACAATCAACGACTGCATTAGACGTCCTCACAATCAACGACTGCATTAGACGTCCTCGCAATCAACGACTGCATTAGACGTCCTCACAATCAACGACTGCATTAGACGTTCTCACAATCAACGACTGCATTAGACGTCCTCACAATCAACGACTGCATTAGACGTTCTCACAATCAACGACTGCATTAGACGTCCTCACAATCAACGACTGCGTTAGACGTTCTCACAATCAACGACTGCATTAGACGTCCTCACAGTCAACGACTGCGTTAGACGTTCTCACAATCAACGACTGCATTAGACGTCCTCACAATCAACGACTGCATTAATTGTCTTGATACTTTACGCAGATTTATAGCATCGATGGCTGCAGTCTTTTGAAAGGCATAGGATAAGGGAAGGTATTACAGACGTGTACAAATGGCTGAAAGGCATAGCATAAGGGAAGGTATTACCGAGCTATATAAATGATAAAATAAATAACCAAGGTGTAGGAACATTGAAATCAAGGAAGAGCGGGCAACAGTGAATTCAGAGTAGGGAAGTAAAGATTTACAATTACTATAGAATGGTTCGAGAGGAAATTCGTTCAGCAATGGAGTAAAGTTGGAGAAAATATGTGTCAGCGCACGTGGGAGCCCGACAAGACTTCCCCCCGGGTGCTGCATATCCTCTTCCTCAAGGCTGAGGGGCCTACAAACAACCAGAGGTGGGTACCTCTCTCTCTCTCTCTCTCTCTCTCTCTCTCTCTCTCTCTCTCTCTCTCTCTCTCTCTCTCTCTCTCTCTCTCTCTGTATTAATATACGAAAGTACTTAAGGAAATTCCTGTTTCAATTTTCCTCCGTGGTCTGACACTGTCACATTTTTAATCACGTGTTTATTTTTCGTGATTTACACACACACACACACACACACACACACACACACACACACACACACACACACACACACACACACACTTATATATATATAACAGTAATAAGGGGTACGTCAGGTTGTATTTGTAGGAATACTTTTTATAAACAGACACATATAACGGTTGAGGAGATAAGGTTGTAGAATGTTGAGATAACTGTGTGGGGACCCAGCAGGTGTGGCGAGCTGGAGGGAGGGCTACCGAGGGATTGAGTGGAGGGAGAACGAGACATGAAGGAGGGAGGGAGGGAGGGAGCAGGAACGAGAAGGTGAAGCATAGGTAAATCCCTCTCTCCGCACACTAATCATACATCAGGTACATATTATACATCTTCACAGGGACATAGTTCACGGCGAATAAATTCACAGAAAGAGACACTAAACATCTCTCTCTCTCTCTCTCTTGTACAAGTGGTGACAGAGAACTGATGACTCCTATTAGCAGGGTTGGCGCGTTCTCCTGATAGTTCTCTCCCTCCCTCCCTTCCTCCTATTAATAGGCTGAGAGCCTTCCCTTCCCATAGCTCATGGCAAGCCTTACCCACTAGTTTCAGTGGAATACGATCCCCCTCAGTCGTTTAAGAAGCAAGTACCCAGTCACTACTGGGTGAGCAGAGGCGTACAGTTAAGAATTGGTGCCTAGTCAATCACCCCGGCCAGGATACGAACCAAGGCCAAATCGCTCGCAAAACATGGGGCGATTGTGTTACCACTGCACCACCAATTACTGTCTTTATCTCTGAGCTCCTTCACGTCTCATCAGGCGGACTTTGTCTAACAACGGCATCATTAGTTCCAGAATGTGAGGGATTCAGGCACATAGTGAAAGGCTGGTACGTGGGGGAGGAGGCAGGCAGGTGGGGGAGGAGGCAGGCAGGTGGGGGAGATAGGCTAGTGAGGGAGGCAGGCAGAGAGGTGAGGGAGGCAGGCAGGTGGGAGATACATTTAGGAAGTGGAGAGACAGAGGGATTACGTACAGGCAAGGAGGAGGCAGGCAGGCAGGCAGGCAGGCAGGAGGTTGACAAGTGGGTGGTTTTAGGTGTTGGAGAGTCAAGTGTTGGGGAATCAGGTGTTGGGGAGTCAGGTGTTTGAGAGTCATGCAGGTAGGCACTCTGTCAGGGTGGGCAGGTGGGGGGGGGGGAGGGAACAGTCCCCACGCCAATATCTCGCTCAAGTGCGCCAATTATACGGATTAATTATGTACATTAATCCTCTTGTGGACCCGCCATTGCTCAGCTAATTCTCTAATTTTAGGGGGGCGGCGGGGGGCGCTGTTTATGTACGCGTTGCTCCCTCATCCGCACTACGCCGTGATACTATTCGGAGCCGCCATGGTCTGAATAGCATGTCAAATGAGACGAATTGTTTTGACGTATTTCTCTCGCTGCTGTTGAACTTCTTTTGTTTAT